GTCGATAGAGCCCAAGTCGTTGTACACTGCCAACGCAGGCAGACAGGCAAGAAAGTGGCTGTCTACGGTATTGAGTCAGGTTGTAGTTGGTTGATTTTGCAGGGACGCGTGCCGAAATTTTGGGTATTGGAAGAGATATCTCAACGTTGGTGTTGGAACTTGGAACTGAGTACTGCATTATGCATTCCTTTGAGGTACCCAAGTCCTGCCAAGGTAGGTGCTTCTTGGTTCTTACACAGCAAGTGCGTGCCAGGGAAGGTGAGGTGGGAAGGTCCAAGTGCACAGTCCATCTGGAGGACGTACAGCGTACGGTACTTTGTACTCTTTATGGATCTGCATGTCTTGATCGCTGCTGGTGAAAATGGATTGGAATACTTTGAAGATGCGGGCGTGGACTCGTGGACTGTGGAGAGACGGGACTGAGTGCCCTCGGCATTTCCTCGGTTGTCATTGGCTGCCATTGGCTGCAACTGCTGTGTATGGAAAGTGTCGTGCGGCGTGCGGCGTGACTCCTCCATTCCTGCACAACACAACTCTGGTGCTGCAGGCACAGACAATCATGACTTTCCACTCTGGCAGATGCAAACCTTGTGATTGGTCAGCCGTACAGTGCGGGTAAGCCAACGACGGGCACTGAAAGCTCGTCGGGAACAAGACGACAAAAGCTTTTAAGTTGATACAGTGTGTTCGAGGCGATAGCGGATCAGCCTTTGCGTTGAAACCTACTCGATGACACGTCAAGGTACCTTAGGTAGGTAATGTAGGTGAGGTAGGTACTCCGTACCTTGGACGCGAACCACGTCGCTGTGGGTTCGTCTGATGCTCACAATGACACGGCAGCATCGCGTTCTGGAAGAGAAACCATCGTTTTGTGTTTGGATGTGTGGTCAACGGCGTTCCTTGGGGAACCCTTCCCGCCCGTTTACCTTTGGAGATGATTACGCAGAAACCCCCTACCTTGGGTACCTTACTTGAGTGCACTGCACCTGACTTTCTTACTATTTGGCACTTTCGGTTTGTAGTGTCGCACTGTGTACTAGTCATGGATGCACAGCGTGGATGCAGATGTCGAGGGATAATTTGTGGATTTTGTGCGTGTTTCCCAGCAACGCACGGGACGGTGACGGAAAGACCACTCAATTTATATTGGACCGGTGTGAGGCAACGGCAGGTCAGGAACGCCGGGCGGGCTTCCTTCCTTTTAGCATCGCAGCCAGTGACAGACGCCGCCATTGCAGCTGACACTGTGCTAGCGCCTTCCTACACAACCATCTGGCTTATCCCACAGGCTGGGCCCCTTCCTTCCCTCCACCGCTCTGGCAGTAGCCGTAGTCCCCGTGCCACCTTCCCGCCCCTCCCTCCCAAACGCGTCCGACCACAGACCACGGACCACGGGCAGGCTGCAGACAATACCTCACTCACCACATGCCGCAAACCGTCTGTGGCCCGACATCGCGACGAGATGCAACGTGCAACGTGCAACGTGCCTGCGAGTCAAAAGTCAAGTAAGTGCTCCTCAAGTGCAAACCCACCGGTTCCTCCCTGCTCCGTCCCCGAAAAGGAAATACACCTTGAATCAGAAGCAATAAGATAACTTGGGCATTGAGTGTGCCTTCCAGATTGAGGCATAGACACTGGAAACAGAGGAAAGAACATAGAGCATCGTCCATTTCTCTCATGCCGTACCGTACCTTGCGGAGTACTCTCTACTACGTACCTATGCCATGGCGCAATCGTGACTTCCCAATCTTGAGTTCATGATACTAAGGTAATAGGGAAGGTAGGGGGCAATGTCAAACTTGTCACTGCCTTCCCCTTTTCTGGTATTCTTTCCTCGGCAGAATGCACCTTAGCAAGGCATCCGGCCTTCAACCTCCTGACACCTTTAACCTTACCTTTCACATTCCTCCAGAGGAAACGTCACTTCACAGACTACCTTATTCAATTCATTATCCACCACCACGCAATACGCACAAAGCATAAAAGCCACGGACCATGGGCCACTCACCGCAGGCTGATTGCGTTTTCCGAAGCGACACCGGCGACAACGGCGGTCGCGCCGCTTTGCTCCCTCTTGCCCCTTTTCTCTTCCGTATCTTCAAGGCCCAATTCATCGCCATTTGGTATCTACTATACGTACGCAGTAGTATCCGTACGAATAGTAAATAGTACCTTATACAAGGACACCGCCCCTGCGAAACGTGAAGCTCCAATATCCGTCGAGGATCCTCCGTCCCGCTGTGGACTTATCCAGCTGCCACGACCCATCGCGGCAGACACTGTCTGCGGCGCCGGCTGCTTTCCAGAGATGACGACCCGTCCGTCCAGCTCGTGGTCGCGACGACGAAGGAAGAAAAAGGAAGGAGGAAAGTCTGGAGAGCTGGACCCAGCCTTTGTCGAATACGGATAATTGGCTGTACATCCATCGAGGTGAGGTGCTGGATCCTTGGCCTATTCGCACAGTTGCGGTTCCCTGCCTCATCGATCAGGGTACTTTTTTTTACCCCTACCGAGCCTGGAGTCATACCTTGCCTTACAGTTCTGACTGTTCTGGAGACAGGTCCTTGCTCATTGGCAACCCAGGACCCAGGGTTATGGGCAAGAGGACTCCGTACAAACATGGGTCTGACATAGCACTTTAGCGTACAGGTACCGCATGCCTTTTGCTCCAATCGACGGCTTCCTTCCAGCAGAGGGTACGCATACTCGGCCATGCCATATGAAGACATATTTCCATGTACTACGTTTTGCGGCCATCTGAGAAGCACTCCTCTGGTCAAGGTACGCGAGAAGTCGGAGACTCGGAGCAAGACGAGACGAGCCGTTCTTTCTCTCCTCTCCCCATAGCACGCCGCATACTACGTATGCCCACCACAACAATTACCATGAAATACCCACTCACCACGCACACCACACCGCATCGCGCCGCGCTCAGTTTGTCAGGGGTACCTAGCTCCGCGGTAATGCCTGGGCCCTCCGTCTCCTTCCCGTCTGCCGCCTGCGCCTGTGACTTGCACAGGGCAACGACGGGTAGTTACAACGGCACAAGCCATGTGCGCATCGGGCCCTGAGGCTGGGGGGTCAAAGGGTCAGACATTGTCATAGCCGTGGGCACCAGAGTCAGTGCCAGTGTCAACACGCTGCTCCTTCTCGCATCAACAACACTCTCTCGACACAAGGCCGAGAGGTACATCAGCAGAACCAAAGGGAAGAAAGGCTTTTGAGCCTCGGACGTTGCGAGATGACCAAACCTTGCCGAGCTTGGGGCCAATTTTCAACGTACTCTGGACTACTGTGTATCCGTATGCCCTGTCAACAAGAAGCAAACGATGGGTCAACGGTCTCCCCGCCAGACACGATGGATACGGAGAGGATAGGACAGGATAGATTGAGACGGAACACCGCCAACGCCCATTGCACCAAAGCTAATCAAGCCTACAGTGTGAGCCGGCCATGACAAAAACAGACCCTGACCAGCGGGACACTAGTATCTTCCTACATACGTAGTACGAACAGTAAGTCAATTGGTGAGGTACGGAGACTTCTGACTGACTGGTTGACTAGTTAGAAGGGCGATAGCGGGTAAAGGTGCCTTCTAGGTTTGTTCCCGCACGTTGCTCTGAGCGAGCCGACTGGACCCCAGAGGTCATGGACCCCCAATTCCTCATACAGCGAGCCCCAGGTGAGGGCGAAGAGGTTTGGAGGTTCCGAGATTCGCCATATCGTACTCCATACAGCGTACGGATACAGAGAAAAACCTTGGGCAGAGGAACCTTGCCGAACCAAAGGGGACCGGGGCATCCAGTCCATCCAAACGGTGAAGGCTTTCGCCCACCCTCTCTCTCTCTCTCTCTCTCTCTCTCTCTCTCAGTCTGTTCATCTACCCGTAGGTACCTTATTCACGTACCACGCGATACTTTACAGCGACAGGTTCTAGTGGCTGGCACTAAGGCGAAGAAGAAAAGACACACTGACCTCGGGAATGTCAGTCCCTGCTGCCACTGCCAGATGGACGGGCTATTAGCGGCGCTGTCAGTGTCAGATCTGAGGTCTGTTCATGTTCAGCAACCTCAGGTACCTCGAGCAACCTTGCCTGTGCTATGGAGAAGTTATGTTGCCTTGAAGTTATTGATGCAGCTTCGCAACGAGTGCATATTTTTCGTTGTTCACGACTTTCTCTACAATGGAGAGAATGGAGAGAAGAAACCGTAAGGCTCAAGCACAAACACAAACACAATCCATGGAATAGACACGACTCTCTTCATCATCGTCGGTCGCCCTGGGTCCTCGCCCCGATCCTTGTCTTGAGCCTACCTACTGTGTACTACGTACTGCGTAGGCCTGCCCTGTCGGTCTTGGGTGCTGGGTCCCTGACTCCTGGTCCTGGAGACCTAGACTCCTCCACTGGTAAAGAAAGGTATCCGTAAAGTACGGGATAATTAGTGTGTGGTGCAGACCGCAGAATGGGTTCCTCTTATTTTCCAATTGTTCCCTCCACCGTCTGTTTCTGCCCTGTCAGTCATTCTCCTTGCCGTTGTGGTCCACTGGTCCCTCCCCGACCCCTTGTCAAGGGCTGAAGCCTGTCTTCCTTTTGCCTTCTGCCGTTCGGGTCGTTGCCACACCCCTTCTTCTTTTCCCACAGCCCTGGGGTCCAAGTCCTGAGCTCAACTTCATCAAGTCTTGTCTGGATCCCCGCTGGCTAGTCCCCGTCCGTTCGGTGGGGGCCCATTTCATCAGCTACGGTCACTGGGGCCCATCATCGACAATAACGGGGGTTGAAAGTGAACTGTGACGGGAGAGAGAGAGAAACTGCAAATCCAAAGGAAGGGGAGAGGGGACCAGAAAAAAAAAGAAGAGAGAAGCTCCCCTTTTTAGCCTCCTCACTTCAGCTTCTTCTTCTTTTTTTTTTTTTTTTCCTTCCATGCTGCAGCAGCACCAAATTTTCCCTTGTCGCTCGAATCTCCTCGCAACCTCTTAACCTCCCCTTCACCCCCCTCCCTCACAGTTCATCGTCTTCTTCCTCCCTCGACCTTTGACCTTATTTTGAGCCTCAACACCAGGCGAAAAAAAGTAGTACCTAGCGTCGGTCACCTCATCATCCGCTATCCCTCTTCTTTATCTTATCCTCTCCTATCCGTCCCTTAGTTACCTATTACTTGGGCTTGTTTACCTCCCTCCTCCCACATACCTTAGCACTTAATTGAGGTACGCGCACCATCAAGCAAGGAATACAAACACACCCACCACCCCCTTTGCGCCTTGCCCTATCCAAAGGTACTTCACCTTGAATCAAGGCGCAACACACACACACCAATCCCCAAGCGATCGCGTGTCAAGCGTCTGCAACCCGCGTCTGCGACTGCGACTGCGACTGCGACTGCGACTGCAACTGCAACAGCAACTGCGTGTGCATCCGGTACCTAACTGGGTGACCTTGGCGTTTTCGGCGGAGAAACGAGCGAACGAGCCCCAAGGGCCACGCCAAGCCGAGCAAAGCAAAGCAAAGCAATAGAGAAGTTGAGAAGCAGAAGACGAAGAAGAAGGAGAAGAAGAAGATCCTGGCCAAACAGAAGCCCAAAAAGCAAAAGCACCAGCCCGCTTGCGCCCATCCCGCAAGGAGCCCGCCACATACCTTTGCCATACCTTACCTTAGGTACTTCGAACGGAGAGCAAGGTACCTTACCATTGACTGGGACCACTCGCCCTCCCCCACGCCCACGCCCACGCCCCTACATAACATCCGCCACGGCATTTTTTCTGTACTGGTCACAGCGTGCGACTTTTTTTTTTTTTCTTCCTCTTCTCTCTCTCCCGGCTGCTCGCATTTCCCTCCTCCCAACCTGTTTTTTCCAAAAGACCCATTTTCGGAGGGGGTCTCTGCACGACTATTAACGACGAGCGATCCGAACGAGCGAACGGCCGTCACATCCACACACGAGAGAAATTCCTTGCGACTTTTCTAGTTGCATGCTGCGTGTTTGGTGAACTGCAACCTTGCACACACACATACATACACACACACTGACTGCATCGCCTCGTCCGCTACATCGCAATCAAGGTTGCTGCCGTCGCCTCCGTCCCCGACGCCGCTTTTGCGTCTTAGGTTGCTGTCACTTTGGTTTTGGCGAAAGGCACACTGACTGCTTGCTCCGCATCGCCCGCCATTTCCTGAGGTCGCCAGGTCCCTGTCCTCACTCGCGTTGTCCACACACGTCAGTCGGTTCGGTTTTGTCGAGGGCTTTTTTTGCTGCATCTACCAACTGCCCCCCTTGCCAACCCAACCTGCATCTCCCTCACACATCCGCATTACCGCCTCCCGCCTTTTCCTCCTCCTCCTCTTCCTTCCTCCCGCTCCCCGTCGGCACATCACACTGGTTACTGGTCATCAAATCCAGTACCTGCCGTCAACGGGTCTACACCTCGAAAAAAATATATCACGAGAAAAAGACAATGAGCCAGCAACAACACGACATGTATCTCGACTACTCAGCCCCCCCGAATCGCTCCCCGAGCTCCTCGAGGCAGTATGCGGGCGGCTTCCAATCCGGTCTGTCCCTCCCTCGTCAGGCCCAGCGACCTTTCGATAACGGCTTGGGCTCCTCTGCCCTGTTTCCTTCCGACCGTCTTGGCTATAATCCTAGAGCCATGGATCAAATGTCTGCGAATGGAATGCCCGGGGGATATATGCTGGACAATAGCCAGGCCTGGAACTACAATGCTGGTGGTGTTGCGACCGTCAACGGTGCCATGAACGGTGCCAATAGACAGAGGAGCGTCAATCGCCGAGCCGCTCTCCCCACTGTAAGTTTTTTCCTCTTCTGTTTTTCCCCTTTCCCACATCCTTTCGCTCTCTATAACGTAGTCGTGATCTGACCGCCCCTAAGAACTGGACCGATCAAGGACTCGGCATGCACGGCTCATATGGCTCCGGCCTCAACGGTGGAATGTCTAACGGCCTCCGCTATGATGGACAGGGTGATATGCGCCCCAGCTCGCAGACGGAGGAGCAGCTGATTCCTACCGCCATTGTCATCAAGAACATTCCCTTTGCCGTGCGAAAGGAGACGCTTGCCGCCGTCATGTTGGAAATGCACCTACCCCAGCCATACGCCTTCAACTACCACTTCGACAATGGCGTTTTCCGTGGCTTGGCTTTTGCCAACTTCCAGTCCCCCGAAGATACCAAGATTGTCATTGATGCCATGAACGGAATGGAGGTCCACGGCCGAAAGCTGAGAGTCGAGTACAAGAAGATGCTGCCAGAAGCCGAGCGAGAGCGTATCGAGCGTGAGAAGAGGGAACGACGTGGTCAACTCGAAGAACAGCACCGCGCCCCGATGCTGCACCAACAGCCGTCTCTGCAGACCCTGAACAGCGTCTCCAGCAACCCTCCCCGCGCTCCCCTCGGTACGTTGTGACGAAGAAAGCCACGAGATAGACTTGAACACCTGCTGACTGACCGTGTGTAGATGGAGATATCGATCTCAACGATCCCGAGACTCTGGAGTTCTACACCGAGCTTACTCTTTTCAAGCGTGATACCAACCGTGAAATCCTCATCTTCCCCAACTCGGTCGCCCCCGAGCAGCGCCGTCGCATCCACATCCTCGCCCATCACATGGGCCTCGAGCATAACTCTGTGGGAGAGGCCGAGTCGCGCCAGATTCACGTCGTCAAACGCCAGCTTCCCTCACCCACAGCCCAGATCCACTCTCCCGCTGTCGGCCTGGACTACCACAAGAAGGGCCTCAGCAGGGCAGCCACCTTCGATTTCGCCGCTGATAGAGAGGCCCGGAGCGCTAGCACCAACTACTCCCATGCCATGGGCCGTCAAGGTCCGACCCTTGAGCTTCCTGGAAGCCCTGATGGAAATGGCCTTGCCAACCTTCGCGCTGCCAAGAGCTTCGCCGATCTGCGATCCTTCAGCCCTAGCCCGTCCGCATCCTCCTCGAGCTACTTGACGGCCATGAACGGCATCGGGAACATTCCCCAGTCTGGCAACTCGGGGGCCCGCTTCGGCGATTACAATGGAGGTGTCAACCAGTCCGCCGCGCTTGCCACTCCCAACCTGACGCCTACTTCGGGTACGGTCGGCACTCCTGGTACCGACAGCAGCCTCCTCAGCTCGCTTGGTGGACTCAACCTTGGCTCCTACGAGTCGGCCGCCCATTCTCAGGCCCGAAGCACCCCTGGTGCCATTGGAAGCCAGCGCCCTGGCGCCAACAGCGGCAACCGCAACGCCCCCGAGAGGCAGCCCAGAGGCCCCGAGTGGGAGACTTCTGCCGGCTTCAGCGGTCGCAACCGCTCCAACGGCCACATGCAACGTGGAAGCGGTAAGTTTTTTCTTTCGTCTGCGCAGACTGGGATAGCGAGTCCAAGGAACTAACCCCATGGCAGACTCTTCCGATAACGCACCCCGTGCTGGAAGCGCCGGCGCATCTCGATTCCACTAGACAAGAACCATAATTCACCTCGCCGAGACTGCCACGACAACCATTACAATGAGGAAACGATTCATGACTCGCGACGCATAGAGACTACAAACGAAATTCGACGAGTTCACCGCAGCTCTCCGCAGCTCGGTAATCGACAAAACCCCCCCTGTGTTATACCTACCATTGCTTTTCATGATGGACACTCTCCCCCCACAACCACACCCATATTGCTTATAATGATGATTTGTTGGACACGAGCCTTTGGCAGCGTCATGATCTTTCGCTCGGCCGTCTCGGATTTGGTGGATAGAAGATTTTCCAGCGTCGCGGCGGCATCCAGTTTTGGATTCACGGCACCCGCCCGGCAAGGAAACCTTGGCTCATGGCTGTTTCAACGACCAGAGAAGGATGAACGGAAAAGAAACTTGGATACAAGAAAATACCTGATATGGGCAACCATTTCGACATGGCAAAAAAAGGCCCATGGGCGGTCCCCCTATACCCTCCTGTTTCCCCGCCATACCTCCTTTCATGGCGCGCGGGAGCATATGAACCACCCTTGACGATGAATACGCTGTTACGACCTTTTTATGTCTAGATAGCTGTACCAGCATGCTCGACAAAAGCCGCTTCTTTTTGGATGACGAGACCATGCCCTTCGGCGACCATGACTATACCCACCTAATTACCACGGTTCGGCAGGTTTTGATCAAGACACGACCCAAGACTGATGTTGCCCTCGGACTCTCTTTTGAAAGCCAGGATTGGTTGTTTGTCGGCTTGAGAAAATAATGCTAGCTCTTTATTGGGCTAACCGACGAAAAAAAAAAGTTTGATTTGATTTTGGGCGTCTTGATGCGCCGGCATTTCCTGATATTTTTCTTCGTCGTTTAGTATTCATGTCCCCCCAGCCTTCAACCCTGCACACTGCTCTCTGTGTCAACTTGCAGAGAGTCGCCCATAGAATGAACACTCCTGTTCCATCATGGGTGATCTTTCGGGGACGACTTTGGCGGGGACATTGGCGTTGAGGCTGCATTGGGGGCCAATTGGTCGTGTTTCCTGGTCTTGGACCTGCTAGAGTTTTCCGTGTCTTTTTTTCCCTCTTATTTTCGTTGGATTTACATGCATTTGCGAGCATCTGAGGCAGGATGACAGGACGAGAGATCAATGAACGATCCAATGTCGATATATTTTCCAGGAGAGAACAACACACGGGAAAGAGAGAGATGAGATGGCAGATGCGAGGACTGGCCAAACTATTTGCGTGTAATGTGTCATGGGGCACAAAGATAATTTCGATGAAGAGAGGATGATGATGTACCGAGAGAGCCGCACACACTAGGCAGCTATGCTATTTTGCGCCTTGTCAAATATACTGCGTTTGATTTGATACCGAGTCTCATGCCATGGGGTGCTCACTGTGAGGACGACACGCGCCGCTACCGAACTGCTGGCGTTCAACGTTACAAACAGGACTTGAAGACTCTTGTCTTGTGGTCCGGTTGTTCATTTTTACCACTCGTTCCTGAGGGAAGATGAAATTCGGTACAAACAATATGAGTTGGGGGGGGGGGGGGTTCTAGGTCAAGGTCCTCTTCTTACAAAGCAAAGTACAGTCCATGTTCTGTCTCACGACATCTCATGACATATCGGTGGGTGGGTGAGCGGGCGGTGAACATGTTTCTTTGTCTCGTGAAACGGGGGTCATGATGTGCATGACCAAGTGGTGGGTACATGATACGGGCAGGAGGGACCAGCCGGATTCTGAAGGCCCGTTCTTTAAAAGGGTCAAAGTGATTATGAAAATGGGGGACGGTTAGCTATTTGGATTCGTCGAGTCCCTACCATACCAACGAGATATCGTTCACAATGTGGCTAATTCTCCCGCTCGTACTTGTAAGAGCCCCGGATACCCCATCTACCAAGCTACACACTCACTCACATTTCCAAATCTAGATTAATTTTGCTGTATGGTTTGCACATAGCCGAACTTGGATAAACAACGAGGTCGAACCATCGCCAGACGTTCCCGAGGAGGTGAAGGGGCAAGGGGCGTAGAATGGCCGACCATCTCCAAGTGAACGAATCCAGCCATCGTGGACCGTCATTGATAACTCCCCCGGATTCACCACTACCGCCACCGCCAGCCGAGCCAGACGCGATCGCTGTGCAAATCACTGCAGCGTCTCCATCTCCATCATCGTCATCTACATTGTCCGGGCTCTCGCCATCCTCATCACCCTCGTCCTCACCAGAGCCATCAACGCCAACAGCACCAACAGCACCAACAGCACCAACAGCACCAACAGCACCAACAGCACCAACAGCAACACCAACACCAACACCAACACCAACATCAACACCACCAACATCAACACCACCACCTCCCCTCCGCCCCAACCCCCTCCCAAAATGGCGCTGGCGCTCCCACTGCGGCATACGATACCTCATCTCCTGCACAAACCGCTGCATCCACTGCGGCCGCTTCTTCTCCAACAAAACCGCCCCCAAAACCGGCCCGCTCTTCATCTCGCGCATGTACACGAGAGATAAAGCCTTACTCAGCTTGCGTCCCGAAGACGCAGAGTATGGTTACCTCGTGGCGCAACAGCCGAAGCGGAGGAACCGTGGTGGACCCAGAACGGCGAGGGCGAGGGCGGTAACTAGGGCAAGGGCGGAGCGTTTGGCAACGATGATGGCGAGGACCGTGTTGGAGGATTCGGTGATGGCTTCGCCGCCGTGGCTAATGCTGTGGCCTTCTAAGTGGGAGTACGCCGAGCAGCGGCAGGTGGGAACGTATCCAACACGAGGGACACGAATCAAGCCAGCATCTGGACGACGCGTACGCTTCAGCATTCCATTAACCGGGTAATTAGGCCGCATCATAGATACCCCGATTCACGAACACCATTTGGATAGATTGTCTGCATGAGTCTGTCATCACCTAGGACGAGGGCATTGCGTCAGTATACGGAAATCAAATGTGTACCCCCATTACAGTTTTATTCATCTACCTAAGCCCATCAGCTAGTGCCTTATCCGCGCGTGCCTTCTTGGGAACCGAAACAGGAACCTCGAAATGTTGTACATTGTGAGCGAGTGCCAGACTCGAGGCGAATCTGCGTGGGTTTCTGAGAGTGCATGCACCCAGAGCGAGTACCCTGCAATCGTGAAGATCAAGGCACTTATGGCTCATGCGCTATGTTTTTCTAGCACCGTACCCGTAAACGTCGAGGACAGGATTGCGTGCAACTCTGAACCGTTGCATGCCTCTTCCTTTCTTTGTTTCCAGACGTTGTGAAAAGATTATTCAAGCTCTGGCACACCTGCATCATCGTCGTTTCTGACCAGTGTTGTAAGGAAAGCAGAAAAAAGCATCCCTTGAGACCGAACCACTCCCAAATAACCGTCCTGAGAAAAAAGCCAACCGGGAATATCAACGTTGTTGTCGTTGTTGTGCAAGACGCGGGATTTATGCCTCGAGCGCCTTGGCCTTCTTCTTTTGCTCGACCTTGAGGAGGAGCGCGCGGTTGATGTGTGGCAGAACACCACCAAAGGCGATGGTGGCACGAATCAGGGTGTCAAGTTCTTCGTCACCACGAATGGCAAGCTGGAGATGGCGGGGAGTGATACGCTTGACCTTGAGGTCCTTGGCGGCGTTCTACAAGGCGCGCGTCAGCAAAAGATTTAGGCAGAGACCCCGATGAGTCAACGGGGTGCGCCGGGAGGGATGGAGACTTACGCCTGCAAGCTCGAGTACTTCAGCAGTCAGGTATTCGAGAACGGCGGTGACATAGACGGCAGCCTTGGCACCGACGCGCATCTTGTTCTGGGTGTTGGCCTTGAGGAAACGCTTAACACGACCGCAGGGGAACTGGAAAGTCCGTGTTAGCAAGCTGCGACCGCTAGCTTGAGAAATTTTCATTGCTGCGAGTGTTCCGGGAGTTGCGCCATCGTTTTCAAGCCCAACGACATCGTGCACGCGACCGCATCCCGCCCATCATCCAGTGCTGCCTCGACGGCGAGAAAGTGATCGCGCAGATTCACCGTTGCAGGTGGCAGATGCTGCGCGACGCGAGATGATGGTTGGATGGCGATTCTGACTTGTGTTGCGGTCGAACGCGTCGGAATCGGGTGGTCGTCGGTCGATGCTCGATATCGGGGCCCAAAAATTGACGTGCATAACCGGCGCATCATCAGCACAGCGCAACTTACCTGGAGACCAGCGCGAGCGGAGTGGCTCTGCTGCTTCTTGGGGACTTCGGCCGTAGCCTTACCTCCGGACGTCTTTCCGCCAGACTTACCCTTGCCGCCGGCCATTGTTGATGTTGATGCGAGGGCGCGAAAAAAAAAGGTTTGATAAATTCGAAAGTCGAGTTTGGGATCCGATGATTCGATCAAAGTGGGGATGCGCGTGTCGAGTACAAGGTTTGGAAAAAAGGACTGTTATCGAAGAAGACTGTTTCGGTGTTGGGTTGAAGTTGGAGGGGTTGTCGAGGGAAGCTTTGGTGGAGGTGGATGGAGATGGCAGAAATTTAGTTCGAAGGCTGACAGTGATTGTTGTTGTTCGTCGGTGACGGCAGGAGAAGAGGACAGGGGGGCGAATGGGAGCGAGGGAGCTTCGGTGCGAGCAAGAAAATCGCGGTCGGTGTGGTGTGGGAGGTGCGAGGAGAGGGGACCGTCGATGGGTGTGCCGGGTGCTGCTGCGTGCTGGTGCTGGTGCTGCTTGTCTTTGCGGTGCTTTTCGTTTCTGAGCAAGTCCACGGCGCGGCCTGTGTCTGCGTGTCTGCTTCTGCTGCTTCCAATGGAGAGGTATGACCACCGGCGCACCTCTGCTGCTCTGCTTTGCTCTGCGCTGCACCTCTGTGCTGCCACGGCCCACGCTACCTCCCTCCTTGCTCAGAGTTTTGCTGGTGAGCTGTGGTCCGTTCCTATTCGTCGGTTGGAGCTCTGTTGTGGATGGCTGTGTTATGGCGCTAGCGTCGAGTGCCCAGAAATTGTTGACAAAATGTTATTGCCGGAATGTTGCGACTGGAGAGCTTGCACGCGGCTGCCGAAGATTACCCGAGCCGCATCGAAGGAGCCAGGAACCTTGAGGTGCTTGCTTGGCCCGGGCGGGCTGTGAGTGAGTCTGATGAGCGAGGCAAGAGAGCCTGCCGCCCAAGACGTAAGTACATGGCACTCGCCATGGTAGAACCGTCAGAAAGCCAGAAATGAGATAAGAGTAAGGAGAAGGACCTGCTCAGCTCGAGCAAGTCACCTGGAATCCAGGAGACGCCGTGGCGGCAAAGAAGCACATACCTTGAGCTTACCTCCAAGTGAGGCTCTGCGACGGATGCCAGCAGCAGGCTTTGGCCAAGCTCGCTGCACTGCAGCGGGATGGTCAAGCAAAGCTCAGAGAAGAATGAGAAGTGGCCTTCAGGTCAGCCTGAGCCCAAATGCAGCCTGTCTTGAGCCGTGGAGGCGAGTGTTGTCATCTTGACATGATCGTTGCTGATGTTGGCCTTTGATGTCGACGCAAAACGCAGACCGAGAAAGCGTCCCGCACGAGGCTAGTGACAGCCTGTGGCGCGGCCGTCCACGTGATGTGGCTGGTGCTTCATCCGGCCTTGAGTCTCACGTGCGACGTTTGACCTTACAAGCTCAGTGCTCACTTCAAGGCTCAATCTCAGGCCCCGCCTGGACTCGATCGGATGACCGGCCCCATAAAACACCGGGAAGATCTGACACTGGGAGCTCGGGTCTCATCTGGTATCCACACCACCATGTTCTCGTTTATCGGCTCTGGAGGAGTGAGTCCTCTTCCTGCAGCCGGTGCCAGCTGTTCATGTAAGTCCCAATAAGGCACTGTCTGAAGAGAGGATAACTTCTTTCATCTTATCATACTTTCTACTCAAATCGTCAATAAATCCACAATAGAGAGCATAGTTCTACTCAGTGACGACCGCATTATTAAAGAAATCTCTTGTTTGCTATCTCGGGCCCTGCCTCTTCGTACTCGGCCCTCGTGACACACATCCTTTCAAAAGTCGAAAGTTCGCTCAACATGGATCCCCCAACCCAAGCGGAATACGCCCTATTCCGAGGAGAGATGATGTTGATAGTGGTACCCTCTCCGAATAAACGCTCCAGTTCGCACTTCAACCTGGCGCCGAACCCAGGAAACATGGTGTTTCCTCCAGCCTATACCGTCGTCAGCAACACGACGAATCAGTGATAGCAAAACAGAGACAAGGACTCACCAGCAGGATATTCTGACAGAGGCTTTCACGACGACCTTGTACGCACTTCATAATAACATCAAAGGCATCATGCTGCAGCCCACCAACATCAAGCCCCAACATGGAAGGGTTGAACGACACCTCGCCCGCACGCAAACCCAGCGGGGTGTCAAGCCTGACTTTCATCCCGTCAGGCAGATCCCAGATCTCTTCTTCCCCCCCGTCATCCACCATATTCTTCCACTGCATGAGACCCTCCTCAAAGTCCTTTACGACGCGGCACCGTTCAGTCTTGGCCAACCACAAAACGTCATCCCAAGCCCCGTTTGACGGAAGCTCCAGACCGACTTCATTCGTGAGAGCTTGCTGCAACCAGTCGTCTATCGCTTGTCCCGCAACGTCGTGCCGACGGGCGTGGTTCCGGTTAGGGGCGTGGTCGTATACTGGTAGAGTAGAAGTCCCCGCGTAGCCCGAGTCGATGACGAGAGCGATTGGTAGGTTGGCCGCGTAAGTTGACAGCAGAGCCGGCGAGGCCGTGTGGTACGCCGGCGCGGAGAGGTATTCAAAGACGTGGGATACCATGGTCATCCTAGTTCATGGACAATCAGGCTCTTTGCAGTCTCGGAAAAATATCTGGTACTTACCGCTGGCTTGGAGAGAGGTGAAGTGGTTCTGTCATGATGATCGGATGATGGGAAAGCGGTATGGAGGCTCCCAATTCTGCCAACGCATAGTTCCATATCCTATCTGCATCTTGCCAGTTCGTAACCACTCCACCTGCTCTTACCGGGTATAGAGGTCGGTTGAGGCCTTCATAATTCGGGTTGACGGCGTGGCCAACGTTGTAAGTGGTATGTGATATAGTCAATAAGTCTTGCGCTTAGAGGAACTTGCACGGGTTGCGGAATATCACGCCGACTAACCATCCAAACATCAGTGTTCCTGTTCTCGTTCGTCCTAGTAGGATATTGGATTGCAGTTGCTAGATTGTAGTCAGACAGCTGACGACAGTTACAGTTGGGGACTTTGTCTTTAGTCACGGAATACTCTGAGAGGCTGCCGGTCGCCGCCGAACCCAGCCTTGGTGAACCCGGACCTGGCAAACGATCAGAGCCTGAGTCGCTCATCCAAAATCAGACCTTCATTAGCCAGGAAGCACTTACCCGCTGTCAATGACAACGACTCGCGATGACACAATTGCACTGGGCGACATGATAGATCGAACGCCAGGTAACTCACATCATGAGATGTTTAGGGCAAGCTTATGAAAGAGCTCAGCTATTAGAATTTGACGCTTAGGCATCTGCAGATTGGGCTTTACACAATTGCTTTCTTTTGGAGGCTGAGGTGAGCTGGTGCCGGTCTGCATATGCAGGCGGCACTCATTCAGGTAAGGTAAGCATGCAGGCATGTTTGGTAATGCCGCTTGTCGTTCACTTTCATTCAGCTTGAATGATTGAGTGACTGGAAACCTGATGGCCCACATTGCGGAAGGTCATTTGCCATGAATCAGCAAGAATATCATAGAGATGGGTTCTTTCATTTTACTACTACTCAAGTCTCTAATCACACCTCTTCTCTTCTCTTCATGAACCCTTCAAACATCTTCCAGGTTCAACTTGGTAAGCATCGAAATTTCATCAAAACTGATTGCCATGGTCATTACCAGCGCCATGTCGTACTGTGAGACCCAACAGGCTTTTGGGCAGGTATCGCCTGCAATCATACACTCTGTACGCCATGGTATTCGCCGTGGCAAATCTGCCCAAAATAAAAGACCATGTGATCCCAATTCCACGCCAGCCGCATCCATTACGCTTGCAATCAATAAAACAGTCATCGCTCTGGCGGATCCTCTTTCATTACCAAACTCCGGGTTTGCGGGTCGTTGCTTGACGTCTTTGCGTCATATGTGTTGTGTCGTTCTTGATAGCGTTTAATACATCATCGTCATAATTTGCTGCTGCTGTTGTCGCTGCCGCTGTGCGTTTCTCTCAGCGAGAATTCTCTTGACTCGTCGTCGGCCGGTGTTGATGAAGTGGTATTGCGGCGGGTACTCCTGTTCCACAGCTTGGGGGTAGGTCCAGTACACGAGCCCAGCGAGGATCATGTTGAAGAATCTGGCTGCGGGTGTGAGTCGGGGCTTCTTACGCGCAAAGTGTCGCCATTCGAGTGTGAGAACAATGTTACCCAAAACATTGAGGAGGCGGAAGAACCTTTCTACCTGTTAGCTCCTCAGAACGTGGTGAAATAGTGACCCGAACTTACATGTTCAATACGATAAAGACCAGGGTTACTGTAACCCGTCTGTCGAACAGTCCAGCTATGCCGTCTTCCACATCTTTGACGAGAACGTAGATTGGTAGACACCAAAGACCGAGTATCGCCGTTTCAAGGATCAACGAAAAGTGATACGTGCGCTTGTGTTCGCCTCTGACGACGAGGAGAGCCAGACACCACCACAGTAAGACAAAAGCGACCTGTCTAGATTAGAAACCCTATTTTCGAGAAAGGCGAGAGCGATTTCCATGAACTTACAATAGACGGCACCAAGACGAGAATCTCGTCTTTAAAGTACCTCCAGCAGAGCGCACCGGCGACGATACCGAGGCTCAGCTGAATCCACCCCAAGACGAAATACACCAGCAGGACATTATTGTAGTGATTATAGCAGCCCTTGTGGAACTCGGGCTGGTTGGGCGCCGAAGCAGTGGCGACGGGATACCCGCACCAGCGACAGATCCATACACTCGCGTAATTGCCCAGCGCCACCTTCTTGCCTACCGCCAGCTCATTCTTCTGATACGCACAGTCGACACATTTACTGGCGAGAGGATACCGCGGATGGTTATAGTCTGCCCAGAGCAAGCTGCCGCGTGTGGGGTCGTACTTGAGGCAGATGTAGCAATGCGCCAGTAAAGCGAGGCGGAATTGCTCGCCGAAAAGGTCGCGAATGGTCTCCTTTGTGAGAAAGTTACGGTAGAAGCGGCACGTGCGGCGCAGGTTCTCTAGTTCGCCAAACTCCAGGTAGTCGATGATCATGAGATGGAGCTCAGGCGGGAGATCCATGAGACTATTCCCTGTCTTGGGACCTAGAATACGAGAGCGTCGTCGGGGATCGAGCGAGGCGACCTTTTCAATAACTGAGTCTCGGCGTGAGCGGGATGTGCGAGGCCGGGCGCTTCGGGCGCTGGTAGGTCGTATTGAGCCGCCATCTTTACAGGACAGTTGCTGCTCGAGTTCGAGGGGTAGAGGTGACTCGAGGGGCGAGGGCAGGTACTGAGCTGGTGAGGCTGCGGCTGAGAGGTTGAGAGGTTGGGGCGCCGGTGAGTTGGGGTGGACCTGAGGCGCGAATGATATGGCTGAGGGTGTAAATATGGGAGAAGCCAAAGGTGCGCTGGGTGAGTGAAGTATAGCGGGCGGAGGCGATAATGGCGATACGGGTTGAGACTGCGGGCCCGGGACGGTGAGTGTTTGAGTTGTGATGTTGTTCGTCAAGGTCTGGGCATTCGAAGACTCGGCGGGGTGAGCGCCGGTGAGAGCCTGGAGGGTTGCGTCATCTTGGGTGGGGGGTTGGGCTGATGGGCCCAGTGTTAGGGTTGGAAGCGTATGAGCGTGATGCTCATGAGCGGAGTGAGGGGGCGACGGTGAGGCCGGCTCCGGTGAGTTAATAGTCGGTGTGAAAGGCGGCAGTGGTGATGTGAGCGGCAGGGCCGTGTAGTGAGATTGAGAGGCCGTGTGAGCCGGAAGTTGAGCTTCAAGATCGGGTTCAGTGGTCGGTGCGGGAGCGTGAGCGGGTACGGGAGTGTCCTCGGCGCTGGTGGACGAAGCGGTTAAGGATGGGGCCGATGAAGCCGCGGATGACTGAGATGGTTGCTGATCATCTTGGGAACCCTGAACCTTTTTGCGGACGCCGCGGGCAGCGCGGGAGATGCCCCTCCCGAATGAGCTGACAACATTATCCATAGTGAGCCCAGGGCGGGAGACGGTCGAACGATGTTGTCGATGGTCGAGGTATTGGTGCACCGTCGACAGGATATGTGCCCGCTGTACAGCAGTGAGGAGAGTGAGAAAGAGATCTGGCGGCTGGTCGGCTGGGCGACCGGGGATCCCCTCGTCACGGAGGGTTGAAACTGCTTGGAACCCGGGGTGCTACAGAGAGGCCGATGTGAAACGGGTCTGGAAGCCGCGCCGGGAATCCTGGGCGAATATTGGGGGCGATGCCGAGGGACTGGGCGACCTGAGGTGACAAGAGTGTAAAGTGAGTGTGAGCGTCAGCGAGCGGTGTGTTCGAATGAGAGCGGGGGCGTAAGTGAATGAGTTTAGAGCGTTCGAGTGAGATGTTGGTTTAGGCAAGTCTTAGCCAACGTCTGCGATAGTAGCCTCGGTGGCCGTGAAGCGGTAGGACATTGTTTTAATTCGGGGAGTGAGGGAGGGGGGAAAGTTTGGTCAAATAAGAGAAGGAAGAGAGGGAGGAAGAGACGGGTGCGAGTGGAGGAGGTCGAGGTGGTGATGAGTGATTGATGATCGATCTGTGATGTGGTAGTCTGCCCGCTCGTGGGTTCGTTTCTTTTCTTCTTCGTTTGTTGTGTCCCTCCTCGTGACCCTTGTGGCCAACGGACCTGATTCGATCTGTCTGATGCAGGGTTACTTTCTAGACTCGTTGAATCCTTGAATCTGGGGTTCCGTTCGAGTTGGGATGCAGCAGGCCAGGCGCAAAGTTTACCAAGACGTGCCAGGCAGAGAAAGGCAGAGCGAGTGGACGACAGGAGTCAGGGTCAGTCAGTCTCTGCGCGCAAGACTGCAACTCTCAGTCTCACCTTTTTAGAGCGAGCTGCAACGAACGGGCTGGAATGGGCGACCGCCACGCGGCGATCGCAAGGGGGAGGGGGGGCGGTGGTTAGGTTGTCCGGTGCTTGTGCTTGTGCCTTTGCAGACTGCCCACAGGCGGGTGCGCCAAACCGGCGTGGACGCGGTGGGAATAGTGCGCCCTGGGACCAAAGAGAGGGGAAAAGAGAAGACGCCGGCCCCTCGCCTTTCGACTTGATGGGTACACAAAGGTGGTGCTGTGGTCCGGTGACCAACAAAGTACCTCGGTTGTCGAGTATCCCCCGGGAGTTGGCGGTGGGGTTCCGGTCTGTGAGCACCCGTCGAATGTGTTCAGGCGTCAATAATCAGTTGTGGTAAGGGCGTTTGCTGGCCAAGCCAAGGGATATATTGTATAGTTCGTCTCTCTCTCTTTCTCTCTGGTGGGAATAGTAACAAGTTCGAACAGTAAGGTAACGGAGTAGGTAGGTTGGCCAAGAGAGAATAGGCAGGTAGGAAACCAGCCAAGTGAAGAAAAGATAAATCCCGAGACCTTGTCTTGATGGCGCTGTTCACCCGCAAGCCATGGAGGACTCTCCTTGTATTAAATCCGTCCGTGTTGCCTGCGACGGAGTCACACAGATGATGGTTGACTTGTCCACGTACGAAGACAATAAGGAGGCAGCGCCAAGCCAGGAGGCCTGCCTGCCCGGCACACCACTCTCTGCCGCTCAGATCAGCCTCAAGCTTCGTCAAAACGTGGCCAAGAAGTCCCCATATCCATCTTTAGCAACGCTCCGGACTTGATGGTGTGTTGGGCTTTGGGTGTGTCGCATGTTTCGAATCCTAGGGGTTTCCGCGCCGCCCTAGCCTCCTAGCATACAGTAGCTCTTAGCAAGGCACGCATGCTTACCAGCATGATTTCTAGCATACCGTAGCACGCATACCTAGGTTTGCTTCCAGGATGTCTCTTCCTAGCTCCCGGTGCAACTTTGAGAGTGCTGGAGCGGCAGCTGGGTCGGGCACGACTAGGTAGCGAATTCCCTCACTCTAAGATAGTTTAATTCTCGTCATTTTAGATTCTGTCAAGCATATTGCTACTTTATTGTGTGACGAGGGTGGTGACGATACGATGTTAGGGGCCGACAATGCTGGTTCACGAGCAAGAAAAGCCTCAGAGCATGGACGCACTCTATCAGTCACCTCATCAAGACATCAACTGACAACAGCACGGCTTCACACCCATGTGATAATCAGGGAAGCTCCCAGTCCATTTGATTCATATTCTCCGTGCTTGACCAGCCGGTCTAAAGCGACTGGCGACACAGCATGCCTCCGCTGTCCAGTGTTCAACCGACAACCCACATTCGTCTCCGGAACCGATCCGTACAGTCGCTTCAACCCTGCAAAGCCTACAGCATCTTTGCTGGCTTGTTTCTTATGTGGACAACGCCTAGACCTTTTCCGCAGCCTTACGGACCTCCACTTGCTCATACGTAGCATCGCCGTCCATTCCCGCCTCCTTGGAAACTTTGGCATCCTTGCCGTCGAACAGGACGGCAATTTCCTCAAGAGTAGGTCCCTTGGTCTCCACAAAGAGGAACCAGATGCAAATCACCTCAATGACCAGAATGACAATGTAGACAAAGTAGAACTTCCAAGCCAGTGACGAGAGCCCAATGGGGTTGACGTATTGGTTCAAAACACCAGAGAGCGCTGTTACTCCCAGGCAGATTGCCAGTCCCTTGGCACGTATGCTGAAGGGGAGAATCTCGGAGCAGTAAGCAACCGTCAAGCCAGGCCATGCGAAACCAGCGACTCCGTAGAAGAGGAAGATCATCGCCAGAACCGCGGACCCGGCGTCTTTGTTTCCTGTTTGGGCGTACACTGCAGAGCATCTGAGAAGGTCAGCATAGGTTAAGTAACTCCTGGGACATTGTGGGGCCCATACCCAGTCCAGACACTGAAAATAACGAGCATCCCGACGGCAGCGATAAGGAAGAGAATTCTTCGGCCGAGTTTCTCGATGAAATAAACCGAAAAGCAGATTGCAACGAGGAATGACCAGATTTGGAGACCACCATTGAACAGAGATTGAGAGTTGGGCTCGTCGATGCCAACGGAACTGAGAATGTCATGAAGATAGTACGAGACCAGGCCGTTTCCTATCAGAATCGTGTGTCAGTCAAGTCCAGGTTCTCCAAGAGGTTTGACCATACCTGAGCATTGAGAGAAGAACGATGTGAGCACAATGAGCAACAGCCTCTTGCGGTTTCCCGGCGTCTGGAAAAACACCATCCACCCCGTCTCTGCCGCGAGCTTCTCAAGCCTGATGGTCTCTTGGATCTCGGCGAACTCGGCTCGGACGAAGGGGTCCTCGCGGTTTCCACTGGCGTGATACTGCGATATTAAGCGTCAGTCTTCAGGATGAACCAATTGTACTGTCTCTGCGCCCTTCTCACCTTGACCAAGATCTCAAAGGCCTCATTAGATCGGTCCTTTGAGCATAGCCAACGCGGACTCTCAGGCAATGTGAATATGCCTATCAGTTGGAGCACCGGCATAAGGCATTGCAGAGCGACAGGAACCCGCCACGAGACTTGACCCGTGTACTTGATCGTTCCGTAGACGGTCCAGGCGGCAACGATACTTCCGACATACCAGAGGCTGTTGTACATCACAGTGAGCCTACCTCGATGCTGAGGATAAGCCAGTTCCATGATCAGCAGCGGACCGGCCCCGATGGAGATGTTGGATCTAATCCGGCCAGTGATCAGTGATCAGATCAGCAATTATGGGCATGAATGCCTACTTACCCGAATCCCACGAGGAAACGACCACCGATAAACATGCCTTCGTTGACGCTTGGAACGGCTGAGCGACATTAGATTTCATCCTTTTCTGCAGGAGAAATAGGGGCCTGAGTGCCTACATTGGATGATGACGCCGACGACTAGGATGATGATGCCGATAGCAGTCGCGATACGACGGCCATAGAAGTCCGCAATGTACGGAGCTGTCGCCAGTGAATACGTTAGCATGTGTGAAGATCTCGCTGAACTTGAATCCCCAACTGACAGAAGAACAGTGCACTGAAACCACCGATGTTGACAATGGCAGTGAATAGGCCAAGAGTAGAGCCGGAGGGATGGTTGAAGTCTGGAAATCTGAGAGTCAGTATACTTTTCAACGAATCAGTGACGGGTGTTGTAGGACGTACAAGTCCGCCAGTTCTCAATTGTCTGAAGGCCATTCAGGAGACTCCCATCATATCCGTTGATGGTAGCACAAAGCATCAAGATTGGCATTCTGATGTAGAGGCTCCGCAAGCCGGCATGCTTATACCATGTTACCCGTGGGACTTCGAGGTGTGGCGGCTCCTCGAGATAATCGGGATGTTCCTTGGTTGAAGTCATCGTGCTCCTGGAGGTACGGCAACAGAAATTGAAGACAGGTTTCTCGAGTTCTTGGCGTCGGACCACTGTAGCCCAGGGTCGCTATGTTGAACGATGATGGGATTCAGGGAACTGGAAACTCATGAGTTCTACCTATGCCTTTTAAATAAAGGCGAGGCAACATGAGAAAGATATTGACAACAAAAAGAACCTGCGACTACATACTGACATGTCCAAAAGGAGTTAGACATGATCACCATCTACCGTATTCCTGGGAGGAGACCCCAGGTTCGTGGGGTGATTATGGAACAGAAGACTGGGGTAAAACCAACCAGGCATATGTCTTTCACTTGTTGCGACCGAACATGCGGCCTCTGGACCAATAATCTGGCCGTTTTTCCGGCGTCCAGGAGAATGGAACTGTCACCCTTCTGGGGATGCGGGATGAGTGCGCATGTGAGCTTGGCGGTACATTCACCAACCTCTGTGATGAGGGTAACGGCATCCGGGATAACCAGGAGCTAGGTCCGGTACGATATTAGCGCTGTTTTCGAGAGAAACCGGCACTGAAATCGACAGACCCGATCGATCGGAGAATGAGAAACGTGATTGGCTTTTCCCCCGAGACTTGTGAAATTCCATCCGCTACATACAGAGAGACCTTATTACCAAACTGTGCAGAGCATACCGTGGCTTTCTGCGTGACCCCCAAAGGCGCCACCAGATCAGAATATCATCCATATTTTTCACATTGTGAGGCAAGTACCTACAAGACTCATTTAACGTAGGTTTATTTCGGCGTAAGATATTTCTCTATCCTGCTATTTCGTGTCATCTAGACTCTCTTTCCAATTTGTGCATACGGATTTCACAGAGGATGGGGAACGTCTCATTATCACTACAAAGCTATTGATGTTAACTAAATCAGGTAGTCGAACTCATAAAGTTGTAAGCTATAGGCATCAGAGGTATCAGTCTGAAACGAAGTATACCTCCCTTGTTGTGTAAGTACTTGAGTTCGAGCCGAAAAGCTGTCAATATCGTAGTCCATGCCCGATCTCACATGTTGAATATCCTTTTCCTCCAGAGGCAGTGAGTATTCGGTCAGAAAGCGCACCATCCAGTCATCGAAATCATGCGTTCTCGAGTCGCCAGACAGCAGGCAGAAGTTTTGAAAAGTAGCAAGACGTTCGATCTGTCATTAAATCAGCCTTCTTACCCACAGCAGTCGGCTGTGTGGACGGGAACGAACCATTGGCGCCGTGTTTGGCCAGTACTGTCGCAATTCGACAATGGCTGCAAAGTTCGCATTCAAGGCATCTCGCGCGCTCTTTAGATCTGCTTCCTCGCCGAACAAGAGCGTATGGAGGAGCACCGATGACGATACTACCGCCATGTGCCCGACAGTAGGATAGACGACTTCGCATCCCTGCTTACCACGGGCGAGCTTGACAAGATTGCTGTAAGCCGAGGCGTGGGACTTGCATCTACTATGATACATGCTAGCCGCGGGGGATCTTGGCTCTTGAGAGCTGAGGAACCTGAAGTAGAGCAGGACGGAGTAGTGATGATACCCAAGATGAAGGGCGACATATGGCCCTCCGGTTCCTCTGTTGATATGCCAGTCCAACATGTCCTCTTTCCATTTGATGTTGTCGGGCAGGGAATCTTCCCAAGTTTCTAGCTGCCGAGACAAAGAGAGAATGCTGCTCTCGATATCCTCTTCAGTCATGCTTCTGTTGACACTATGACGATTGAGTTGCTGTATCGGGCCGAATAGCTGTACCAGAGAGATCTTGAAAGCCCATATTCCTGGTTGCCATGACTTCTCTAACTGTGTTGATGTAGGGTCTAGGGACTCAAATATGGCTTCATCCATGGGCAGATCAACAGCGAGCTCTGTATCTCGAATCTGTGGCAACAAGCGAAGGCTTGAAGACGACCATCGATCTGCCATGAAGAGTGACCACCATATTCTCCTGTGAATCTCGAGATCAACCAGCCGTGTCCCTACAGTGGAGGTGCCAAGCTGCATGATGTGAGAGAGACTGATACCGGTGCCTGTCCATTGTGAGCAAACAGACCCAGAAGAAAACATGATGCTGCCAGTCCATTCGAATAAGCCCAACAAAGATTACTTACGGAAGAACAACGCCTCTGAAGAGGGGTTCAGGTGAGCTGCGCATAGATTCGCGATAAGAATACACGCCTGAATGTTTTCGACGCAGACGTTTTCCAAATTGGCCAGCAACATCCGCTTAGATTCTTCCATCAAACCGGCCTCCAGGGCCCGTGTCTCATCGTCGAGAGCGAACCTCGAACCCATGCTGCAAATGGCCAACAGGAGGATCCTGCTAATAGACCCATCTCGAACCTCTTGCCGAAGTTTTGCGGGGTGGAACAAACTGTGCGGCCGATTGTGTAGCTTGTCTAGATAATAGTCGACGAGAAGCACAGCCGTGTGAAGCGGCAAGCTTATGCCTTCGGTGTTTGTCGAAGTAGGCGTGGATGTATTTGACAGCGAAGGAGTCCGTTCAGGCCGTGGGAGTAAAGGCAGCGGCGATGGAGGAACGCGGGAGAGAGAGCTTGCACACGGTAGACTTCTAGCTCGACAAGTATCGCATGGCTCACCTACCGCGAGACTACGGCGGAGGCATTTTCGTTTGCTCTCTCGACACTGTCGACATGCTTTGGGGGGCTTCATCCGATTGTGGGATCAGATGAACGTAAGAGCGTATGAAAGCCATTCACACTCTCCATAGTCAAAGTCATTGATGGGGACAGGAACACGCCTTCTATTTAGTTTCTCGGAAATGAACAGCTTTCACTGGGTGTTGACCCGAAAACCCCACAAACCAACATGTGGAGGACGCTGCTGCGCGTGAGTCGACGCCACTGAGGGGAAGCAAGACAGGCATGTTGGCGGGACTCTTTACTCGTCAATCGACGCTTCGCTATCCGGTGTGTCGGCATATTCCCCTCATTCTCCGCGTGTTTCGCAGATCCTTGGGAGCTAAGAACGAATGATCGGGATATGAGCCAATCATCTTTCACAGATTCCGATGTGTGTTCAACACCGCAGATCCATCCTGCTTCTCTTGACTTGCTCTGCTGGCACTCCAAATCCTGAAATAGCAACCAGTAACACTTTTGTTCTTTTCACTAAATTTTCTCTTTTCTCGTCCAATTCCTCTTCTACATTTCTTGTCTCTAATTAGAGTCGAATTACTACTCATCAAAGAAGACCGAACCGAGACCCCGATACGATGACGTTTCTCGACGCAACGCCCCAAGCCGCCGCGAAGATGGCTAACGTTAGTGTGAATATCCCACATCTCGTCCAAACAGATGGATCGAAACAACTGGTGGTGAAGGGCGAGCCTTTTCTCATGAGAGCTGGTGAACTTCAGAATTCTTCACTATCGTCCCCCGAATACATGGAAACTGTATGGGACAAAATGGCCCGTACCAACATCAACACCTTACTCGGCAGTGTGTCCTGGGAGATGATTGAGCCTGAAGAGGACAAATTCGACTTTTCGGTGCTCGACGAAATTATTAGCGACGCACGGAAACATTCCATGCACTTGGTTTTGCTATGGTTTGGGTCATTCAAGAACGGTATGCAGTCCTGTTTCTCCCCTGTCCTCGAGTGACATATAGGAAAGATCACTGAGACTAAGAAATACAGGACTGTCTTCATATACACCGGCTTGGGTGAAAACAGATGACAAGAGGTTTCCGCGCGTCAAGCTTCGCAAGGCCGGAGGCCGTCTCGAGACCGGCGACGTTCTGTCAATCTTCAGCGCCGAGAGCCGCAAAGCAGACGCCAAGGCCTTTGGCCGACTAATGGAGCACTTGAGAGAGGTGGACGAGTCGCACTCTACTGTTCTGATGGTACAAGTCGAGAACGAGTGCGGTGTTCTGGGAGATTCTCGGGACGGTTTAGAGCTCGCAAATGAGGCCTTCCGTAAACCAGTCCCAAAGGACCTTGTCCACTTCCTCTCTGCAGAGTGGGATCAGCTACACCAAGATTTGCGAGAACAGAACCTCACGCAGTTTGATCGTCAGACTTCACACCTCGACGGAAGCGGAGATTGGGAATCTGTGTTTGGAAGCAGTCCCCGGACCGATGAGTTATTCATGGCATACAACTATGCCCTCTATCTGAATCAAGTTGCCGCGGCCGGAAAAGCGGCGTACCCTATCCCTCTCTACACCAACGTATGGATGAACTACGTCGGCGAAGACTCCGACAACGACTTTCCCGTGGTGGTAGGCGGCGGCGGCATGCCGGGAGACTATCCCTCTGGAGGACCCGTGAGCAATGTCTTGGACGTATGGATGCGCTTCGCGCCGAAGCTGGACTTCATCGGGCCCGATGTCTATCTCAACGACTACGCCAGCTCTTGCGCCAAGTACAGGCACCGGAACCAACCTCTCTTCATTCCGGAGCAACGACGAGACGACTACGGAGCGCGCCGCATCTGGATTGCTTACGGGACCTACGGTGCTATGGGTGTTGCCCCCTTTGGTGTGGATACTATTGAGCCGGAGGACAGTCCCTTCACCAAGCACTATGGTCTGCTGAAGTCTGTTTCACCCATCGTCCTTGAAGCACAACGACACCCGGACACGTCAGTGGGCTTCTGCTTCGACGAGTTGCCGGCGGATAGCACCGGGAAGGACCCAAGCCCTGTCATCCGTCGTACCTGGGGAGACTTTGAGATCACCATAGAACGGTGCTTTGTGTTTGGCAAGCCAGGAACAGGGGCTGGAATGGTGATACATCAAGGTGGAGGCAAATTCTTGCTCATCGGCTGGGGTTTCCAGGTCAAGGCAAAGGCATTGGGCCAGGACCGGAGCTTCACCGGCATACTCAAGTTTGAGGAAAAGATTGTAGAGGACGAAGGGGCCGGCCGCTTGAAAACGAGCAGGGTTCTTAATGGAGATGAAACGAGGAGCGGCAAGTTCGCGATGATGCCTAACGAGGAACCAGATTACGGCGGCTTTCCGATCTCCGTTACGATCCCGGCCAGGACGATGATTGCAGAGGTTACATTCTACTCTTTGTCTTAACTAGATTTGGGTGATCCTATGTTACTGGGCCAAAGCCTATAGAGAGGAGACCACAGCAAAATCTGAAGGCTAGCATTTACCACGCAAGACCGATCCAACTCTGACGTACTTTGATATCACCATCGAAATGAAAGCTGCGAGCATGAAACCCCCAGCAAAGATCCAAGTACCCTGAAACTCCCGCTGCACATCTGCCGCTGTGTTTCCTTGCGGACGCTGCGCAGCACCTCCAATAGGGTTCCCAATCAACGCGCCAAAGCTGGCGATGGTGTATCCCATGCCCATTCTCGTCCCATACTCTGACAAATCGTCCGTCAAATTCGCAATAGTAGCCGGAGGCAAAGACACCATGCCGCCCGAGACGAAGCCGTACACGATTGATATTGCGACCAAACCCGGCAGGTCAGTCGCAAAGCGGAAGAGAAAGAGGACGGTGGCCGAGCAAAGACAGCAAGGAAGCATGACGGTCATACCACCGTACTTGTCAGCAAGCCAGTTGGGGGCTAGACGACCGAGGAGACTTGCAGCGTTCATGGCGCTGAGGATGTAAAAGGACGTGTCTTGATCGACGCCCAGACGAATGGCGTAGGCATCCACGTAGAAGAAGGGGATGTAAACCGAGCCTATCATAAGGGCGAAGGCTGATTGTGTGTTAATTACTGTAATCAGTCGAAGGCCTTTTGGAAATGAGACTGACCGATGCAAAATGAGACATAGGGAACATCGCGAAAGTGCTTCAGGCGGAAGAGAGCACCACGCCGCTTGAGATTGGGTCGAAGACGCATGATGGCAATGCAAATTAGGAGGCTTCCGGTAACGATGAATGCGAACGCCCGAACAGCCCAAGGAAAGCCAATGGATGCAATCAGGCGTCTCTCCATGATGGGATACACAATTCCCGCTTGAAAGTACGTCAGTACCCGTGCTTGCGTACATTGTCACCTCGGAGTCTGTTCGGAGCTCACCTAGACTGCTTCCCGTAGCAGCAATGCCAGTCGCTATCATTCTCCTTTCGCGGAAGTAGAGAGGAATCACGGCCACACAAGTCAATCCCAGCAACCCACTGCCCATTCCGACACAGAGCGCCTGCGCGAGGAGAATCTGCCAATAGTTCGTGCACAAGCTCAGCATAAATAGCCCGAGAGACGTCATGGTAGTGCCACAAATAAGGATGAAGCGAAGATACCCCGCGTCGAGAAGCCAACCCGCGCAGACACCGATGAGCATCATAAGAAAGATCTGGATGGAGCCGATCCAAGAAATAGCCGACGGGTTGGCGTCTGGTAAAAGGACGTTGGAGTAGTAGGCTTGGAAGACTCCGAATGAGTTTGTCAAACCCCTTGAGTAACGTCAACTTGAGTACTGCGACTTTTGTCTGGACCAGCGTAAGCTGGTATGGGGTCATCGTACCAGGTATTAGCAAACAGAATCCAGCTTCCAAGAACTTGAAGCCATGCGACAAGTCCTTGGTCCATAATTAGCTCTTCCTCGTCGACTCGTGCTGTCTCGTCGTCGCTTGTCGGCGATGACGGAAGTTGACTTTTCTCTTCATCATACGCCATCACGATCTGTGAGACTTTTTTAGAAGGGGTACTTTGAGTCGACATCTCGGATCGTCAGAGGGAATGGTAAATCAGCGTGGGCAGATCGCTTGATAAGATCTGCCAAAGACCGAAATCGAGAGAGCGCTGGGCCGCTCTTAAAGCTAACTGAGCAATTCCAGCCGTCCAGGTTGGCATTCTCAAGCCGAACATCTTTGTCGCATCCCGTCAGACAAGCGTCGGCTTGCGAAGTCGCTAAACGAGAGTACCACCTTGTGGGTCAAGCGGGAAACGGTCAAAAGTAGGTGTCCATGTTGCGTGAGCTTCTCTGTGACCTTCAACATCAGGCCAATCAACAATGTCGGGATCTCGAATTCAGTTGGAGCCCTCCTCGAAGCGACCATGTCTGCCTGGATGGTTTGTGGGTTGAGCCGAAGAAGACGGAAACAGGGTACGAGATTTCTTGACTCCAACGGCTTCTCAACACGGGGCGAGACATCCTAGTCATTGGAAGCGAGTACACTATATGCTTGTTCTTCCTGATCGAGTAACACAAAATTGTTTGGGGGGCCTGGGCACTCGCATGTTTTATGCTTGTTCGTTGATGGGCCTTCGGCTTAACTTAACCTGCATCGGCTTCGGCTTCGGCTTCACTGCAGCTTGGAGAAGACGGGCGCATGATGGTGGCTGTATGACAGCGTACTCCCAGTTGCATCCAAGGAAGCACCCACGCGGTGGCAACAAAAGATGGCCGCTTTTTGGTGCAGTAGAAGTTACAAACCCGGCCATCATTTCTTTCCACAGCGTGGCACCTCAGACACCTAGTGGTGGGTGCCAAGATAAGGTTGTGGCTTGCCGCTTGATTTCGAGCATCATCGTTGAAGGTGAAGAACTTCAGCCGTGCAAAAAGCAAAAGATGAAGGACCCGAAGAGTGGCTTAGCCAATCGCGGTGAGGATTTGAGCCTCACGCGGGGGTCGAACCCGCAACCTTGAGATTAAGAGTCTCACGCTCTACCGATTGAGCTAGCAAGGCGGGTCTTGTTTGATGACCTTTTTGGCCGGTTTGGAGCTCTAGTCCCCTCGCGAGCGGCCAGTGCCTCTCTTTTTCCTTTCTTCTCTTGCGAAGCTGATCTTGATCTTCTCTTTCTTTTCTTGTGCTTTCCTCTCCTCTCGCTGGCGGCGAAAATTGTCATCACTTGGGTATTCGAGTCGCCAGTGTTCTGCGCATTTTTATTCTTTGAGGATGTCTTCAATCACCTCGCGCAGAGTCTCGCTCCCCCTCTGAAGCAAATGTCCCTCCCGCATATTCCCGGCTACAATTCCTCCGGGCAGGAGACTCCTTGTCATCTCTACGAAGAGTTCAGCCGTCGGTGGCCGATATGATTGTGCAAAAAAGTCCTCCAACTGCTCATCTTCCACCAGAGTGACCTTGACCTTGTTGTACTTGAATGTTAGATCTTCTACCGCTCTGTGCACGTCCTTTGTTGAATATGATTTTGGCCCGTATAAGTTGAAGATGTAGGGATTATGTCGCATCGGCGAGCTTGTTGCGAGAGCTTCCCTTGCGCATGTCCGACCAACGTCTTTCACCGAGACCTTGGTTATAAATCTTAGAAAAGTGGCTTTTTCATTTCGAGCAAAATGCCTGGTAAAACTTACCATGGGTATTGCATAGTCTATAGGACACAGCACAGAAGAAAAATGTGGTGTATCATCATTCACTGTCTTGAGTACGGATGCCCAATTCTCCATGAAGTAGGCGCATCGAACAAAGACCACTTCGGGTGCGGCACCGATGAGTGCTTGCTCTGCCTCGTAGTTCGTTCTTATCTCGCCCTACGACACCTACTTCAGCCATCTACCTTCTGCGAATATCCTCTCTTTCGACTTACAGTCCCATGCTCCAAATGAGCCCCTATACTTGACACATATACCAGACGCTTTACTGAACACCCGACTCTGCTGATAGCAAACTTGACATTTGCTGCCATCTCCCGTGCTCTAGTTATCGGCTTGGACTCGGAGTACTGCGGAGGCGTGATGGATACGATGGCGTCTGCCCCGGCGAACTTGAGACTCGAAACATCAGCAACGTCGCCCTTGATAGCCCTAAATCGAGGATGGCCCTTGAATTTAGCCGGTACTCTTCCCAGGTCTCGATATACACCCGTTACGTGTGGCTGCGAAGGGTGATCGAGGAGAGACCGAATGGTTGCCTGCCCAGTCTTGGGGGACGCCGGAACGACAAAGACGTTCATAATTGCTGGTGATGAAGAGAGAGAGAGAGAGCTTGAGCACATCGAAAACGAGTTTACATCTGCCAAAACTAACGTACCCCCGGACTTGTAGCTCCGGGGAGTCCGGGGGAGCTCGAGATTACTATATAAAGGCTCACTCGTGTGTGACATCACACCACAACGGTCTAGACTCGGGTCCATCGGTTGCCTGCATCTCCTGCATCCCGCCATCACGGTCCTACCGATGCGTCAGTGGCTGCAATGTTTCACGGCCGAAAGTTTCCAGAGAACCTCCCCATGCGTTTGCCATGTCAGCTGGGCCTAGAACATGGACTTTTCGGCCCTTCCAGACCACCCCGCCCTCGCAAAATGTCCCGACGCTTGAGCCAGGCCATGTCAGGTTGGATGGTTGGCTATCTGCCTTCAGCCATGCCAAAAGGTCATCCGAACTTGTTGACCTATCACCTTAGAAACCTTAACGGCAACGGTCCAAGCTCCGATCTTGGCTACCCCTCGAGCTAGTGAGGACCATCCTCGGCCCTTCCCGGAGCGAGCTTCAGCGAGCTTGATCGTATCAGCCAAACTATCCCGTAATCGGAGTCTGAGAGGAATGTAGACGGCTCTCGGCCTGGCTTACCGCATCGCAATATCCTTGCGGTAGAACATGCCCTCAAAATGAACACTTTCAACCCCCTTGTAAGCAGCCGATACTGCTTCCTCGAGGGTTTCACCCGTCGCGGCAACGGACAGGACACGACCGCCTGCCGTGAATAATTGATCGTTGACCTGATCAGTTCCAGCGTGGAAGACATGTACACCTAGGTATGGATGTGGTCAGCGATAGAACATGACACAATCCTACTAATGCAGACTCACCTTCAGAGGTAGGTTCCAGTCGGATAATATCCCCTTCCCTGTGTGATTCTGGATAGCCCTTCGCCGCAACAGTAATATTGCAGGCGAAACCTGCAAGTGTTTCCAGCTTGATGTCACCCAGCCTGTTCTCTATACAAGCGAGAATGACTTCAAGCAAGGCCTCGTCTGGAAGGAGAAGCACCATGCTCTGTGTCTCTGGGTCGCCGAAACGCGCGTTGTACTCAAGCACTTTGGGGCCTGTGGACGTCATCATTATCCCTGTGAAGAGCATGCCGTTGAAAGGTCTCCCTATGTCTCTAGGTTAGCCTCATGTGTGTTATCACTACTTTGTTCCAGACTTACTTTCTAACTCAAGGCCAACAATAGTCGGCAGGATGATCTTCTCTTCAATGTCGGCCATCTGCTCCTCAGTCACGGAAGGCACAGGCGCATACACGCCCATACCGCCAGTATTCAGTCCCTTATCGCCGTCAAGAGCGCGCTTGTGGTCTTGGCCCGGCGGCAGAGAGAGAATCGATGTTCCATCAGTGAAGGTAAGGACGCTAATCTCGTAACCCTCGAGGTACTCCTCAATGATCACCATCTCGCCAGCATCACCGAACTTGTCCTTGAGCATGATGTCCTCGAGGGCTTGCTCCGCTTCTGCGGTCGTCTCGGGAAGGATGACACCCTTTCCTGCTGCAAGGCCGTCCACCTTGATGACCACTCTGCGGCTCAACCTTCGTACATACGCCTTGGCCTTGTCGCAGTCAACCTTGTCAAAGGTTTCGTAGCACGCGGTCGGAATATTGCGCCTGCACATAAAGTCCTTTGCAAAGTCCTTGGAGCCTTCGATGATGGCTGCCCTCTTACTTGGGGCAAAGCAACGGATTCCATCTATGATATGTTAGAAGGTACTTCCTTATTTGATGCAAATGGCTTACTGCTTCGAAAGTGATCTCCCATGCCTCCAACAACAGCGTCGTCTGGGCCGACGACGACAAGGTCGATTTCGAGCCTCTTTGACAGCTTCACGAGGCCATCATAGTCGTCAACGGCTATCTCGTGGCAATTCGAGGCTTTCGCCAAGGTTCCGGTGCCAGCATTGCCTGGCAGAACATAGACATGCTCTACTGATTGCGATCGAGTGAGTTTCCATGCAAGGGCATGTTCGCGACCGCCTTTTCCGATCAGGAGAATCTTCATTTTCGAGTGCTTCGTGACTGTCATGCTGAACTCGAGCTTTTGGTGACAGTCTTTGGTATCAGATGATGTGGAGGCCTTGCATTCGGAAAGTCATCCGACAGCAAATTTCGCAGTGTGCAGGAAAGAAATGTTGCTTGATTGGTTAAGTCGGGGGCAGCAACGCGCAGGCTGAAATAAGTAGCCGTTGAGGTGGGAAATCATGAAGAGACTTAAATTCTCGCGACCGCGACTTAATGGAACTCAAATGTCACCCGCGGAGGACCGCCACGATTAAATCTCACTTTCTCGGTTACCTTTCCCCACATCAGCTCTTCGTCAACCAAGTAGCAGCTCCCAATCAGCAGTCGGTGATCACCTCTCTGTCGTGCAACGAAGGGCATCCGACCCCCGAAAAGAACGACGACCTCGTCCCCAGGCTGCATCATCTTGGGCCCGATGCCCACACGACCGTCACGGGTCGCGAATACCTTTCGGTTATTCGAGTAGGTACGCGCCCCTGCTCCAAAGACCTGCAGCTTGTCCTCTCGATCCGGATTCCCGAATTCCGTCGCCGTTGGCGGGAGACCGAACTCAGCCATCTGGGCAAGAAATGTCTCCGCCAAGTCTTGAGCCTCTCTGTCGAGCTCTGCGTGAGGTTTATGGGTACGATCGTCGAAGAGTGGGTTCATTCCTCCCTGATTTCTAGTGAGGAGGTGACTATAGCCAATGATGGAACCTAGAGCGCCAGCCAAGATGGCTTTACAGAATGCCACATCCAGTAGAATGTTATCGCGGTACTTTCTTCCGCATCTGGGGGCGATCGGTATGTCGAAAAGCTGCTCCCAAGCCCTCACGATAGCTTCCACAGTAGCACGAGCCCCAAATTCAAACGCAAGTGTTTCGCTAGTTTTCGATGCCACATCAACAGAATACCCATCTATAGACAGAACCTTTGGCCGCACGGGATCGTCGCGGACCGGTATATCGTGAAGCTCGGCAAAATAACGGAAATGCCCATCGCAAAAGCCAGCGAGATAGGCTCCCTTGAAGACGGAGCATGTCCTTGGGTCAAACCACTTTGGAACCCAGGACGGATAGTCACCAACGCCTGGGTCCTCGTTATGCTGTATGTGGTCAAGGACGTCTAGAATCCGAGGCTGTTTGCGCAAGAGGAACCTCGTAAGATCGCAGTACACCAGCACGGTCTCCCTTTTGTAATCTGGTCGCAAAGCTCTCGGCCGACCAAAGTTGAGATTCGGAGCGAGACCATTGACAAAATTGTTGACCCGTGTCAAGCCTCGACGAATTAACCGAATGCGCCAACTGTCATTGTTGTCAAAGACCTGCGTCAACGCCAGCACGGGGTTTAGCCCCTCGTCGCAGATACCGAGGAGGGAAAACACCTTGTCACGATCATCTGTAGCTTGCAACGTTCGCGTCAGCTCCAGAAGTGCGAGAAACGAGCCAATCGAGCCCTCGACCTCGGGCTGAGCGAGGAAACTGTTGGGTTGCCGTCGCATGAGGATCAAGTTCCATAACTGGTAGGGTCGGTCGATGAGAATCTCGCTTTTCCAACCCGCGAGCACAATCAATGAGGCGATCAAATCGAAGAAGGAAATTTCCAGGTCCTCAATCTTGGCAATCGCCCTTGCAGATGCCACCACCTCTTGCACGCACCAGCAACGGCTGAAGTACTGGCGTTCAAAGACTTCGTCCAAGTGGACCATGCATGTCTCTGGTAGGTCTTCGAGCATGCTGCTCATCAGGCCCTGGACTGTGCCGGGATCGATTTGCCCGCCGTTAGGTCCAGTAGCCGCCGGATGAGTAAATTCTCTGATTCTTGCGAGTCGTTCCGCGGCCTGGAACGCCTCATGTGTCCCGGAAGTCTTGAGACCGAGCCATACGATAACACGGGCAGCGTGCTTGTAGACCAGCCTCATGTACTGGACCTGCCGAGCACGCTCGTCCAGGTCAGACTGGTCGATGCAGAGCGCATCGACCCACAGCCTTCGCACCTGGGTCGGCAAGCGTAGAGAGCGCAGAGCGTCTTCTAAATTTGGCTTGATAGGCATAGGACAGCCTTGCATCCAGATGTAGTCTCTGGGCTGTTCCGTCGGTTTTCCCCACGTGTAAGACAAAGCCTCGTAGGGAGGCGCATGCTCGATGTCGACAATTTCTAGATGCGCTTCAAAGGGGTCCTCTCCCGAGCCTGGGTACAGGAAGAGGAGTCGAGTGAAGGCCGGTGTGCGACCCTCTTCCGCAATCGGTGGCAGAGATTGATATCGATACGTGCTGTTCCGTTCCATTGTGCTCTTCTCTATAGGACCGGTTGATGCCTCTGGCTCTCGGATTTGAGCATCAGCTCGCAATATCCTGCCACACTGTTAGCCAGTTGTAGATATCTCTCGAACCATGTCAAACGCCATCACGTGCGGAATTTTGTTTCAAAAGCCTTATTACCAGAATCGGATACAATTCGTCCGGTTCAGCAGGGGTCACGATGGAAGTTGCCAATCAACTGAGGGCCAGACCTCAGCCGCTCGCGCTAGCTAGACGCATGACAGGCAGCCGTGGCTGCCAAGAAGACACAGGATGGTGTGAAGCTGTTGCTAAATATGCGGTGGCACCTCAGTAGGGTTGTCAATACAGCATGCCATCCTTTCATGGCCGCTTGAATGCTGGGAAGTCTACCAGAACGGCCCTTTTGTTGGGCGTAACGAGCCACCAAACTCCTATCTCTGTGAGAGCCTTCTCCGCATCCGACTTTTGGGTATCATTACAGCAAAAAGAATAATTGCAGTGTCATATGCAGCCCATAACACGCTAACGCCCTCGCCCTTTGAGTGACATGTCCAGCCAAATTGGCCGAGGCTGTGGCTCACTCGAGTGTCGACTTCGTGGATCAAGAAGCAAGTTCCATTGACTCATCGAATCTCTGGTTCCTTCATGAAATCTGGAACAGACAGGCCAGCCTCGAGAACGGAGAGATCCCAGGGGTCTGTAGGTTCCTCGTCTGGTTCCTCACTCACAGCTCGCTTTAGATGTCTGTCAGTCAAATACTTGTCGCATGTTCAAGAAGATCAACTTACGCGGTTCGATATGTCCGCGTCGATGCTAGGGGTGTCCGTGTCCGCGGCGTAGATCTTGATAGAACGAAGGTGCGTATCCTTGCCGTTCTGATGATTCTCAAGTATCTGCATTTGGAACACGTAGGAAACCAGCGTGTTGCCGTCGGGGCCGCCGCCAGCGCCGTCGACTGGAACGATCTGCCAGCCAGATGGTGTCGAGAGCTCCATTGTGGCAAATTGAATGAGATTGTTCTCGCTGGTACCGGACTTGAAGATGATCTTGGTTGGTGTGTAAGATTCATCTTCATTGTAGTCTACGTAGAAGCGAATGTCCCTGATGCCGACTCGCTTGATGAAGTAGACTGTAAGCTTGTGCGGCTGAGGACCATCGGATCTGTCTTATTGTCAGCAAAGGCGTGCATTTATTCTTGGAATGGGTCATCGGATAAACGCACTGCCAATAGGTTTTCAAGCTGTCGTCGCGAAGCTGGTCGACGCCGTTCCCCTGCTTGTGGCTGCTGACGGTGAATTTCCCCAGATTTGAAATCTCTTTCAGACCGACAGCGAGGGGGTCGAATTCGGGCTCATCTTGTTGGTCACCGACTTGGTCGCCGTTTTCTCCATCCTCAACACTAGTGTCGGTGCCAGAGATCTCGCCAAGGTCATCGAGTGGCATGCTGATGCCCTCCTCGTCAGAATACTCCGGGATGGGCTGGCTTCGTAGATACTCCTCCATGTTGGCGCCAGCTCTCATGGCCTCCCAGTCAACGCGTTGCGGTGGGAATGCCTCGCCGTCATCAGAATCGTCTTCGTCTTGACGTGAGCCGCCTAAGGGGTAAATGAGTCAGCAGTGTTGTGATAATAAGCTAGAAGTGAAACGGTCGAGGTCCATGGCTGGGTTGCTTCTTGTCGACCGTCCGAAGTCGATGGCCGGGGCCAGAACATGGACCAGGCGGGTGTCATGCGGCCCCCTGGTCCAATCTCCCGCACTGGGCGTCTAATCGACTTCGAAAGACATAAAAGACTAATTTCTCCCGTATTTCATCAATTTCTTTGTGCAAGAAGTGCAAATCGAGGAGAAACCTGAAGGCTAGACAAGGTTTGTGCAAAAAGCTGCAATGAAGAGCTATCGATTCTCATCAATCAGTAGTCGAAATGATGCCCCTCCATGGAGAAACCACCACCCCTGTCGGACGCATGCAACCCGAGGCGACATCGAACAAAAGACCATCACCTGTGAACTTGCAGGGCTGGAAGATTTAATATTACCTAGAAGAGCGATGCCCCTCGTTTCGGCTCTGAGTGCGTTGACGCGCTGCTGGTAGTGCATTGTGCACTGCGCAGCAGCCACAGAGGCGAAAAGAAGCAGGCGGCATTTGGGGAGATGACACAGGAATTGGGAGCTGGGCATCTATGAGAGAATGAAAAGAGCGACCTACCATTGGGACCAAGAGCTCGTGTCGCTCGGCGGTCGTAATAATCGCCCGACCATTGGCTTCCAGGTTCAGCATCGAGGTCGAACCCGTTCTGGGTGAGCTGCTCGGGGCTTCGCAGGTCAGGCCGTGGACGGCCGCCATGGATGTTGCCCCGCCGTCGGTCGTCCATTTCCATTCACCAGCTCAGGAGCAACATTGGCGTATGAGATTGGCGGCCACACACCTTTCGTGAGTGAGCATGCGTGGTGATGCTGCTGCTGCGTTCAAGGTTGAGAATCACGTGGATCCACCGAGATCTGTCACGTGTTCGCTTGTCGGTGTAACTTCCTTCACCGGCTCACCGGCTCACCATCTTCACAAACGGTTGATTGGCGACTGCTTTGACAGAAATAGGATACCTGGACATGGAAAATGATCCGTAATTTCTCTGAGTGTAGTTTTCCTTGATGTTCCATTGTGGCTTGAAACACATGCAGAGTATGTTTGTTGGTGGTCAGAAACCTAAAGCTATCTAGCGACTCTATCCCGAATTGCAACATACTTGCCAAAGACAACTGTCTAAGTAAGATAGTTTCGTGAGGGGCTTCCAAGCCAGAAATGTAGTCCTTTCAAGGGAAAGTCCCAAGCGATTGGTTGTGGTTGTCTCGGTCCTGGATCTTGCATTTCAGCTGAACACCTCGTTTGCTTTTTGCATGGCCTAGACTCAACGTTACCCCGACTCCGTGTAAGCAATCTACTTGACAACCTCCTCGAGCAGTAAACCCTCCTTCCACATTGGAACTAAAGTATTGAAGAGACTAATGCATCGAAAAGCCTCAGTGTGTCTTCGTCATGTTGTCCTATGTAAGCGCCCGTGGAACGACCTAGTCAACTATTCTCGTCCCTCTCGGAGTTGTCGCCCAATTGACTAGCTACGGACTGGACCAACCAATGGTGAGGCCGTCGTCTCACTTGAGAAACATAGATGGAAGTCTGCACTGGCCCAGACTTCTGCGATGTAGCCATTTGATCGTAAATGCTGCAGTGGCAAGGCGCATGTTCCAAAAGACGACCGGTGAGGAGGGGATCGTCTAACGCGGTGTTCCTAGCAAGCTAAGAGGACTTTCACGTCCGAGGCTTGCGCTCAAGACCCCGATCAGTCCTCGCAGACAAGAAGTTCAGATACCGCAGTGGCTAATTATACCATCTCACATCGAGTTGCCAGTCTTGACTCTGGGGTATAAAAGGCCAGAAGCATCCTGTCAGGAGGTGTATGTAGAATCCGGAGCAAGCAGCACAAATTTCAATCTCATCTTCTCATCGTTTTTACATCTCAAGCCCTGAATAACAGCAACAATGAAGACTTCGGCCCTAATCTCAGCTCTGTTCGCTTCCACTGCTTTGGCAGCCATCGGAAGCTACTGCCACGACAGCAAGGTCTATTTCATCCTCAAGAGCACGTCGATGGCATCCACTAACGCCTTTTCTGTATGTACAGGGAAACTACGGTACATGCCAGAAGACCTCCAAGTGCAGCTCTCTCAATGGCTACACCAAGACCAACCTCTGCCCCAATGACCCGGCCGATGTGAAGTGTTGCTTCTACCCGGACTGCAACAGCAACGGATACTGCCAGAAGGATACTCTTTCTTGCAGCGGCACATACTCCACGTAAGATTCATAATCCAACTCTTTATCTAACCAACATCAGAATGTATAGCTAATTTTGTACGATGTAGTGGCGACTGCCCTGGTCCCTCTGGCTACCGTGTAAGTATGCATCTTCCTATCGCTCGAGTTGATGCTGAGTTTAAATAGTGCTGCAACGTCAGAAAGCCACCCATCTGCAGCAGAGGCGACAGGACCAAGCGCTGCATTCCCCTTTGAGTGTGAGTTGGATTGGACAGGACCGCGTATGTACTTTAGTTAAATTGAATCGCATACGTGCTTTACCGTGGACGGTGACCTGCTTGACCACAAGTGACTAGTGCTTGCCACCTACGCTAGATTTCTTCATCGTCACTTAGCATCTTAGAAATATCGCTATGTGAAAAGCAAAGTAGAGGGAGTTGAGGCAGTGGATGGATGGCAGATCACATTCGACAGCGAGGGAGCAGTAGTCAAACTCAACAAGCAATTACATTGCACTTTTCCTGCCAGTAGTAAAAGAGAAACTATGCCCATCCAATGATCAGACCATGAAAACCCCCCAGGTCCATCCCAAAACGCCGGCCAGAGAGATCGAGGTATCATACAGCGCATTGAACACAATATGTTTATGCACATGAGGCCCAAGTGCCGTCTATGAATAAGAAATGCGACGCCGCTTAGCTTCCTAAGCAAGGGAGCTGCGCTTCTTCTTCAGCTTCTTCTCCTTCTTGGGCGTCTCATCATCTTCGTGCTTGCGCTTCTTCTTGGTGCTGTCGGTAGCCTTGACGGGCGTCTCTTCGACCTCGTCCTCGGCCTTCTTGAGCTTCTTCAACTCCTTCTTGCTGAAGACGACGGGCGTGCCGTCCTCGCCGAGCTGAACATCACCACGCTCGAACTTGCGCTTGAACTTGGACACGCTGATGCCAGCGGCCTCAGCGAAACGCTCGTAGTCCTTTTCGCTCAGCTTCGCCGGTGTGCCCTTGACAGCCTTGCTCTCCTTGACGGGAGTCTCGACCGCGGCGATGGAGACGCGCTTCTTCTCCTTCTTTTCCTTCTTCTTGTCCTTTTTGCTCTTCTTCTCTTCTTCGCTAGCGTCGTTCATCTCGGCGTCCTCGTCTTCGCTCTCGGCGTCCTTCATCTCCTCATCGACGACCTGGATGAGCTTCTTGGACTTGCCGTTGACCTCGGTCTCGACACCGTCGGCATCGGCGTTGTACTTGCGGGACTCCTTCAGGCTGAAGCCACCGGGGGCGGTGAGCTGGCCGTCAGGGCCGACACCAACACCCTTGGGGAGGAGAGGCTTGCCCTCCAACTTGCGGAGGAGGTTCTCAAGCTTGATGCGGCTGGTAAGGCCGAGGATGCTGCGCTCCTCCTCATCGTCCTGGTTCTCGGTGTCGCCGAGAGCGTCAACACGCAGACCAAGGGCAGTCTTGGCGGCGAGGGAACGGGCAATCTTGCCCTTGTTCTTGCCAGTGGCCTGGCCAACGAGGGAGGAGTGGTAGATGATACCGTACTTGGGTGTGTCGTGCTTGGTCTTGAGAGCACGGAAAAGCGCCTTCTCAGCACCGTAGATCTGGATGGTGGAGGAGGGGGCCTTGGCGAGGGCAATGAGGGAGCCAGCGTGGGCGATCAAGCGCGCACCAACGAGGTAGCCAACGAGAGCAGTCAAGTTGGGGGCGAGAGCGCGCATGCGGGTCTCGAGGTAGGTGGAGAGGGAAGTGCGGTACTCGGAGTATGTGATGACCTGCTGAGCCAACAGTTGGATGTTCTCCAAATCTTCAGGGGTCATCTCAGTCCCCATGGAAATCTCAGCAGCAGTCTTGACAGGGCCCTCAAGCTCCTCGGGAAGGATATCGGAGAGGTCGGTCTCGGCGAAGTCCTGGCGCATGCCAACGGCAACAACAAGACGGGCGTAGACCAGGTTGTCGTTGAGAATCTTGGCAAGCTCGGGGAAGTGCCAGCCGTACCATTCCTTGGTGCGCATGGCGTAGACGTTCAGCTCCTTGTCGAGATCGTCGACCAACTTGATAGCCTGGACAACCATGGCGTCGACCTTGTCGGCGGAGAACTTGAGCTTGTGTCGCGAAATGGAGTGCGACAGACCAAGGGCCATGCGGTCCATGGTCTCGGTGCTGAGACCAGGAATGAGGGAAGAAAGGTTCTCGCGAACGGCACGGAACAGGTCCTGGGAGGCAGCATCGGAGACGGCCTTGATATCCAAGTCGGGGAGCTTGCCAATGGCGGTACCGAGCTTCAGGTCGGCAACGGCAAGGGTGGCCTTCTTCTCGTCCTTGATCTCCTTGAGCAGGTTGGCGAGCATTGGCGGGACACGACCCTCCTTGAGACCGGCGGCTTCCTCGACGGCGACGGCGGAGCTATCGAACTTGACGAATGACTTCAACTTGAGCCTTTCCAATAGTCAGCCTCGATTGTTCTCAAACACAGTGATCTAATCACAGCCGAGAAAACAGGTTTGCTCGCACGCGTATGCGCAGCTGCGTGACACTCTTGAAGACTGGCTGCAATTGTCGATTGTGGGAGCGCGACTTACATCTCGTTGATCTGCTCCGAAGAGGTCGGTCCAGTGGTGAGCTCATCGCGCTTGAGAAGCTTCTTGTCGGCAGCCTTGAACAGACCGTAGCTATTTCTCGTGTTAGCTTTTCAATTGCTGCCGCTATTTTTTCCCCTTCTGGTTCTTTTCCAAATGGAAACCTACCCTGCCGGCGTTTCGGCGAGAACGAAGAGAGACATTGTGAAAACCGTCGATGCTCTTCAAATCTGGCCAAATTGGTCCCTCGGGTGAAATCCTCCGCACGTGGGTGTATATGTTGTTGTCGGCGGAGGCAGGTTTCCAGCGAGCGGATTGATGGTTTGGAAATATTTTTTTTCTGAACCAAACCAAGCTCCACCAATTTTTTTTCGATGGCTGCAGAGCCTTTGGGCGGGTCCCACCCCACACACCAATTGGCAAGTGGGATGGCCCGGAGCGCGTAAAATCTGTTTCGCCGAGGAAAACCGCCTCCAGTGGCCTGTGCGCTGCTAACTCGTAATGCCTTAGGTAAGGAAGGTGGACTTGGTCGGCCTTGCTGGGACCTTGGAGCTGCCGTGCAGTGATTTGGTTTGGCAGAGAGTGAGAGCGAGCGTTCTAAAGTCAACGACCACAGCTGTCTCCGTTTGCGCCTCCACAAGACCGGCGTCACCACTCCCAGTCGCCTTCGAACCAAACAATCCACAATATAGCCAAGATGGAGGGACTATTTTTCAACGTCAACAGCGGGTGAGTGTTGGGTTTATGATGGATGATAGGGTTCATGGGCTGCGGCTAACATGGTGCAGCTACATTGAGGGCATCGTTCGTGGATACAGGAACGGCCTTCTTACCGGCTCCAACTATGCCAACCTGACGCAGTGTGAGACCATCGATGGTGAGTGTTTCTATATGCCCCTGTGCGATGCACATCTAATACGGTCCTAGATCTCAAGTTGCAACTCGGCCCTGCGTACGGCGACTTCCTCGGCAACCTCCCTCCCAACCCCTCGACGTCAGCTCTCGCCGCGAAGACCACCGATAAACTTGTCTCCGAGTTCCGCTATGTTCGCGCCAATGCTGTCGGCTCTCTTGCCCAGTTCATGGACTACCTCACCTACGGTTACATGATCGACAACGTTGCCCTGCTGATTACCGGCACCCTTCACGAACGAGACACCCGCGAGCTTCTCGAGAGATGCCATCCCCTCGGTTGGTTCGAGACGATGCCAGTCCTGTGTGTTGCGACGAATATCGAGGAGCTTTACAACAGTGTCTTGATCGAGACCCCGCTTGCCGCCTACTTCAAGGGCAGTCTTAGCCACCAGGATCTCGACGAGCTCAACATCGAGATTGTCCGAAACACGCTGTACAAGAATTACTTGGAGGACTTCCATAACTTTGTCAACACCCATCCTGATATGGCAGGCTCGCCGACAGCTGAGGTTATGTCAGAGATCCTAGAGTTTGAGGCCGACCGCCGTGCGATCAACATCACGCTCAACTCCTTCGGCACCGAGCTTAACAAGAATGACCGCAAGAAGTTGTACCCCAGCTTTGGTAAGCTGTACCCGGAGGGAACCCTCATGCTCTCTAGAGCGGAAGACTTTGAGGGTGTCCGTCTTGCAGTTGACGGTGTTGGTGACTACAAGAGCTTCTTCGAGGCAGCTGGTCTCGGCGGCGGCCCGTCTGGCCCAGGCAACCAGGGCGGTGGCTCAAGCTCCGACGGCAAGAGCCTGGAGGATATGTTTTACCAAAAAGAGATGGAGATCTCCAAGAGCGCATTCACTCAGCAGTTCACTTTCGCTATTGTGTACGCGTGGGTGAGACTCCGTGAGCAGGTAATAACCACCAGACCCCTGAACGTGACCCGGACGAAGCTAATGACAAGCAGGAAATCCGTAACATCACCTGGATTGCAGAGTGCATAGCCCAGAACCAGAAAGACCGGATCGGCAACTACATCAGCGTGTTCTGAGTTTAATGTTTGGCAGTCCTGTTCTGTTAGTTTTGTAGAATACCAGTTTCATCGTTTAATGGCAGGTCACAATGGCGCAAGGAGGGAGCTCAGGTTCATGACGTGGAGATCAGCATCTTTACCGATCGCTATAGTGTACATAGAGGACAATTACAAGTCTGAGTTTTACACGTGTCTCCCTTTTCCCGCTTCTAGCCCGCCCTAGAAGCTGATCTGCTCCTTGTAGGTCGCTGGTGACAGACCCAGCTTCTCGAGCAGATGCGTCCACCGCCCGCTTCCCCTCTCACTGCGCTCCATGTACTTGAGAAGCTTTTGCCGCCTGTGGCACAGGACTCTCAAGTTCCTCTTGTTGTGCTTGTCCTTGTAACCACGGTTCTGTGACAGCTCGTGCGAGAGCTTCCTGATCTTGGCGGTCAGGATGGCAACCTGCACCTCCGAGCTGCCAGTGTCGGGGCCGCCCCGAATTGGCGGCTTGGGAGCGTTGGGATCCACGAGAGCAGACTTAGGCTTCTTGGTCAGAAACTTGTCGGTGTTGTGTCGGCCAAACTCCTCGACACATCTCTTGATGTTGGTGTGGAGAAGGATCTTGGAGTTGGCATTGTCCATAGACAGGATACGCTTCAGAGCCTCTACTGCCTTGGCGTGAACCAGCTCATGCTTCTTGTCCGCCAGTGCCTCCATAGCAGGGTCTGCGAGCTCCCTAATTTCCGACTTTACAGGTTTCGTCAAAATGTACGCCTTGTCTATCACTGCTTGAAGCTCCTTCTCGTCGACGAGGTGGTTGAGGAGCCCCGGCGAAGTTGGCAGAGGGCGAGGATCGGAGATGATGTTTCCATTGTCGTCCTTGACGGGCTTCGTTGTGGGCGCCTGGCCGGCTGAGTCGAATGACTCCACGAAAGGAGTCGGAATGCCGTGGATCGGGTCGCCCCAGCTCGCATCCTTTTCCGCCTGGATCTCACTCTGTCTCTTCTGGTTGGCAGCTTTGCGTTGTAGCGCCTGTTGGTGTTTGTACGGGTCTTGCTTCGCTTTGCGCTTCTTCTCGCGCTGGGAAAGGTTCGCGGTCTGGATGACGGGGAGGAAGCTCGGGGTCGGTCTGATAGCTGGGCGTAGGCACACTATCACAGTCAATTAGCTTTTCAATTGCTTCTTGTATCCCTCAGAATAAACCTGAAGCTTACGGCTAGCGGTGCCTAGCCGTTGCAGGCTCTGTAATCTGGGAGGCATAGCGGCAGCAGTTTCCCTTCAACGCGCGATCATCGACAATTGGGAACCATAAAATTTCCTAGACTCTGGTCCCATATCTGGAGTGCAGCACTCCAATGGCGTCCGGCCCGTTCGTCCTCCGCTGCGCATCCCCTGGGAGTGGAGACGCCGCCCAAGGAAGACTAGCGGCTTCGCTGCTCGTCACGTGAGCTTCAAGTCTCGCCAGGTACGTACTATGGCGGGACCTCGAAGACGCTTGGGCCACAAGGGCCTAGCGAGGGCTTTGCTAGAGGCAGGAGCTGCCCACTCACCCACGAATTCGAGACGCACAACTGGGCGAACTTTTTTTGAGGATCGCGAAATCTTGACTTTCTTCCCTTTCCGCACCACCACCGTTCGACACCGTCTCCCCGTGGAAGAAAGACCGAAATCGCCCAAGATGGCTCCCGCTAACCTCCCCTCGATCTTCAATGCCACTTCCCAGGACATTGAGATGCTGCTTGCAGCTCAAGCCCACCTGGGAAGCAAGAACCTCCAGGTTCACATGGAGCCCTACCTGTGGAAGACCCGTGCCGACGGTGTCAACGTGATCAACGTTGGCAAGACCTGGTAAGCAAAGAAAGCGACGCGTTGGAGAGGGCTTTCCCTTGGGGAATTTCGAGAACACGAAATCACCAAGGGAACCTCTGTTGCGCTCCTCAATTTGCGCCAGCGCAAAAATCGCTGACTTTTTGCGCCTCCAGGGAGAAGATTGTCCTCGCCGCCCGCATCATCGCCGCCGTCGACAACCCAGCTGACATTTGCGTCATCTCTGCCCGTCCCTACGGTCAGCGTGCCGTCCTCAAGTTCGCCGCCCACACCGGCGCCGTCGCCATTGCCGGTCGCTTCACCCCCGGTTCCTTCACCAACTACATCACCCGCTCTTTCAAGGAGCCCCGCCTCATCATCGTCACCGACCCCCGTACCGATGCCCAGGCCATCAAGGAGGCTTCCTACGTCAACATCCCCGTCATCGCCCTCTGCGACACCGACTCCCCCACCGAGTACGTCGACGTTGCCATCCCCACCAACAACAAGGGTCGTCACTCCATCGGTCTCGTCTGGTGGATGCTCGCCCGTGAGGTCCTCCGCCTCCGCGGCACCATCTACAACCGCGAGACCCCCTGGGACACCATGGTCGATCTGTACTTCTGTATGTGGAACTCCTCTCCCCCTCCAGCGAAGCTCTAGGGAGATATCGAACAAATGAGAACTAACACGCGTAACAGACCGCGACCCCGAGGCTGAGGCCGAGGAGAAGGTCGAGGAGGAGAAGCTCCCCGGCGTTGAGGAGGAGGGTGTTGCCGCCATTGAGTCCGGCTTCCCCGCCACCGGCGACTGGGACGCCCAGGCTCCCGGCTTCACCGGTGCTCAGGCTGGTGCCAACTGGGACGGTGCTGGTGATGAGTGGGCTGCCGCTGGCGCCGCTCCCACCGGTGACTGGGCCGCTGCCGGCGACGCTGCCGCTGCTGCCCCCAAGGAGTCTTCCTGGTAAACTCCCTTTCGTCATTCAGGTGTCGGCATGACATACAAAACGAGAGGATTCCCCCAAACACATCAACCTACAAACGCACCGGTCATCGAAGCACGGTGTGCGAAAGATATCCACAAAACGGCGGAACAGCAAATGGTCATGGAATGGTAGATAAAAGACTCTGGCGGAGTTTTTTTCTTTTATGATCGCTGGTAGCAATCTTGGGGGCAAAAAAGGGAAAGGGTCAACTTGGTCTGCACTAATGAGGGAAAGATACTCGAACCAAAAAACATTGTGAAATAGTCGGCAAACCACCAATTGTTTGTGATGTCGTTTTGGGGAGAGGGAAAGCCCTGTGTGGCCAAAAGGGGTGGACTTAATCGTTATCCCGCTCTTCTTCTGCTTGCTTTCCGTTGAAAGCTTCTGGTCGAAAAAATCATGAAATGTTTTGAGGACTTGAAATACCACAACCCCGTTGGTCCCTCAACCTTTGATTCGCCTTGCGTCTTCGTGACTTGGCCTTACTCCTTGCCGCCCCTATCTTCCTAACCCAGTGACATGCCGTACTTATCGCCTGTTCTCTCTCAAGGAATCGTCATCTTTCTAGCGCCTTCCACCTCTGCTGTCCTCATATCTGACCAAGGCCATAAGTTGCCAAAGCCGTCCAACATCTTCAATGTGGCGCCCAATCAGCCAGAGGGGCGAGATCCTGATACAATCGGATCCTCCGATTATGCTCGATCCAGCCGCTGCGTATTCAAGGTTGCTTTCACCCCTTTGATTCCTATTTCCTCGACCAGCAAAGTGGGATCATTGACAGAGGCCAATCTCAAACAAGAACGAGAAGAGAAAGTTACCGAATGACGCGACACTGAGTAGCCGTCAGTGATTGACCCGCCTTTGTCTCTTCTTTACTGAAAGGGTCCAAAATAGAAGTAAAAAAGAAAAGGTGAGCAATCCAGTTAGGCTGGTATTGAGCAGACGGCTCAAAAAACCGATGAAGTGGGAGGACTTCATTATACATATTATCCCATCAATGTATATCGTTCAAGCAGCGAATCCCTTGAGTCCGTAGGAAGATCAGCATCTTTTGATATAAGTGAGCGATTCATCTGCTACGCAGCAGCGTAGAGAAGGAGCCAGATAAAGGAGATAATTTCGCACCGGGTTCTCGCCTTCTTGCCTTAAATATGAAACCTGAGAAATCTAGCAAAGACTATCTTCTGTATTACTCGGTGTCGCTGGACTTATACAATTCTCAATACCTATTCTGACTTACCTGGATGTATCCCAAGTGAGATTGGGGATTCCCAGTCGTCTCGGTCAAGACGTCAGCCCAAACTTTGCTACACCACCCTTCTGGAGCACTCAGAAGGTAGAATAGTACTCAAGGTACCGTAACCGATCCGCCAGGATGGGAGAGAAGGCTCGACTTAGAAATTGGCATTTGTGCTTGACCCTATTGTACCCTATCAAACCTAGCCACTAAAAACTTGGACCAAAATCTAATGAATGAGCTCGCTCAATGATTATCCAGTTCTTGGAAAGGCTGATTGAGCTTATCAAGGGACAGATGCCAGCAAACACACACCAAGTGAGCCACGAGAAGAGTAGCGGCACTATCTCTCCCAAAACTGATTTCAGTTGTCAAGATTGAAACAGGAGCACAGTGACAGGTGGCTGTCCTACTGGCCTCCCTCATCACCGGAGGTACATGACATACCCGCAGCAAGTCGCGAATCCGGTCCACTTTCTGTTGGGTAAGGTGTCTAGTAGTGCTACGTCGATTAGGTTAGCCCTTTCGAAGCCAGCCAGGTGTTGCTCTAGGTACTTCACAACGAAGCTTCCGTTCTCACGTACGTATGCATAGACATCATATCAGAGTCAAAGATGGGTGCACAAGGTTTTGAAGAATCTGAATGTTTGTTTGATCAGCTCGCCTCCTCGAGCCGGAGTCCAACATGCAAAAGGGGTATTGAACGTTGCCCGAGAAAACCTCGAGCCCAGGACACTCAAAATGTCCTTTCCCTACCGGTTAAAAAGATCCCCTTGTTCCTCCCCCTCAACTCCTTGTCCTAGTTGATATGGTCGCTCGCTCGCTTAAATGACGCAAAGTAAGGGGTATAGACCATCGCTATCTATGTGCAATGCTCGGCCATCCCTGGCCTATTCTTTCTTCCTCCCCCCCTTCCCCCCTCCAGTTGCTGAGCCTTAAATAAGGTTCTGGTGATATCATATGGTAATTATCAGTACAGGGTATATGGCCACTGCTTTGAAACCAAAGCAGGGCGATGTGAAAAATGACGATGGCCAAAATGAGCATCGAATGAGTGATGTAGTCGGGATACGCGTTCGTCACGTATGATGATGTGAGAGAAAGGAGACTGGGGCGTGAGCGAAGGTCGCGTGCAGGGCGCACGTATAATGCAGGGGTGTTGTCTGAGGGTCCAAACCCGAAGCAGTCGTACTGGCTTTTGCCGGGTTTGTTTGTTTGTAATTACGCGCCTTGAAGGATGCCAATAGCTGGCTTACTCCAGACGATGAGAGTGCTTGCGAATCTCTTCATCGCTTAGAGCACTCATCCAGAGACACCTCTCGGTGATGCCCTCAACCGGTTGGAATTCGTAGAGTGTGCTAGCCTCGAGCAGCCTCAACAGTGTCTTGACAATGGTCGCGGCGTACCTACACCTCTCAAAGTTAACCAGCGGTGCAGTGGTTGGGGAGCTAGCAATCTCCGAGGGTCTTTGAGCGTTGAAGAGAAGGTCGTGGGTGTAGATGCCTACGAATGGAATGCAGCCTGTGTCAGAGCCAACTTCCATCTCGGCACGCAAGTTGTAAAAGTTGCGGGTAGGGGAGATGAGAGTTTCCAACTCCCGCAGAGTCTGCATATCGTAAGGCGGTACCATGGCCCAGGTGTTTGTAAGCCGAGATATCTCCATCGAAGTCAGGGCGATGGCGATCTGACTCATGGTCGCAAAGTTGCGGTATCGGCGGCAGTGAGCAGCAATGTGGATATACTTGATGATGCATCGTGCTCTCTCCTCAATATTTTGCGTCAGCACGATCTCGCTGCATGCCCACTTCACCATGATGTTGAAGCGCGCAATGACGACCTCAACGCCATGAGCATCCGTGTTGCGAAGGAAATCAACCCAGGACCGAGAGTCGTTGTTGGTAGCATTCTTCCAACCCATATCGATGAGCTCCTTCCAGTCAATCTCATTAAGAGCATCCTTTTCGATCAGCGTGAACTGTTGAGCTAGAATCTCCGAGTCGAATGCAAGCGTGAACGGTAGGTGGACAGAGAATCTCAAGGACGATTCTCTTTCGCGTTCAGTGTACTTTGGCTGCCCGCGCAGTGCTTCTCTGGTGCCGGTAGGATCAAGTGGCGAGTTGGGCTGATTCGCCCCCGGAGTGGTGTCGGGAGTCGGCGGTAGGGGCTTTTGCTGATACACCTGATGTTCGTGAAGCTCGGGAACCAGGACGGCCTCAGGTGACATCTGGAGGGCTTGGACAAGCGTCATTGGTGGCGACGGAGGTTCTCGGCTGTCTGAAGGACCCATGGCCGACTCTCTCAAGGGTCGAGGATCGAACTCCAGAATGGATGCACTGCGGTGAGCGTTGCGGTCCGGAAGAGGTTGTGTTTGATTCATGGCAAACTCTTCGGGCTCGACGATCTCGGCTGACAGCTCGGACGAAAGGTCAGAACCAAAGTCTTCTCCATCACTATCGTCGTCCAAGAATGACTGCTCGCTAGGCGGGGAATCGCCCGACTTGATCTTTTCCAGGCTCTCCGTCTTTCGGACGAACTCGTACGAAGATGTGTGAGATGATCCCTCGAACATTGGGCGAGGAGTCACTGCTGGTGAAATTTCTTCCTCGGGGTCTTGAAGAACAGACATGTTGGTCCATTCCCGCGCGGATGCCTTGCTCTGGCCATCGTCTGCCAAACCTCTTTCAAGAAGAGGAATGGAGCAATACGAGCCTGCCGAGTTGTCTGATAGGAAAGAACTCGCATCGGTTCGAGGTCCATTGGGAACGTCGAGAAAGCTGGAGCGGGGCTCTGATCCCTCTTCTTGTTGGGCCACGGCGGCGGCGTCCACAGGAAGAACATGCAAGTGACGATGTCCTTTCTTTTCTTGCTTTTGCGCCTCAGCGGGTTCACCTTTAAGATCCATCACAGTATCGACACCTTGGAGAGGAGCATTTGTGGGCTCCATGGACAATTTGAAAGATTTCTTCTCATACTTGCCTTCCAACTTGGCCAAGGCTGATTCTACGCCACCATCGTCTTCATCGTCGGGAATTTGGGCGAGCTTCTGCGCCTCAGCTTCAAATGAAGGACGCATGATGGGCTTAGACGAGTGAGTACTGAAGAGCGAGAGTTGTCTTTTTGCCGATGGCTCAGCCATTGCGCCCAGGGAAAAATTATCGGCGTCTCCTCGGTGGGAGAACTCGCTCGACACGACATCAACGAACGCACTAGAATCATGCTTGGGGCTCTGCAAATAGGAGCTTCGCATGGATTCAGAGTAGGTTGTGAGGGAGCCTGCCGACCGCGACTTACGCAAGGGCAAGGCATCTCCGTCACCCCCGTTGTTGAATGCGCGCAGGTCTCCGCCTGGTCGTCTTCTCAAAATCCGGAGTGGCTGAGGCACGGGGCTCGGCTCATCCTCGTCAGCGACGGAGCCTTCAGTGTACGTGGTCGCGTCGAAGCTCTTGACTGTTGAGCGCGGATTGAAGGTACTTCCAAACGAGGTAGTGCGCCGGTGGACGACGGCTGAGTCGAGGGATCTATTTGTCCTACTTGACTTTTGCCGAATGTGCTTTTTCGTTGACCTTAACAAAGTAGGACGGCTGGAAGAAGGCGCGATGAACTCCGACAAAGGACGATCGGTATCCATGGAAGGGCGAGTGCTTTGATTGTTGCCTAGAGTTGTCAAGTCAGGCACAAAGGGAGGCAGTGGGTCTACCGAGATGGACGGTCTGACAACATGTTGGTTAAGCAAGTAAGACGACCGTCGAGGTGTGCCCATTGCATGGCCTGGTGGTGTGTTTGGCGGCGTTGGATCCGCACCGCCTGGCAGAAAGGTGTCAGCAAAAGCCTCCACAGACTCAGTCGCGGGCAACGCTCCATGCATTGCTGGCAGAGAAAATTGGATTGTGTCATCTACGATGACGATAGACTTGCTGCCGGTAGTGATGGCCATGTCGCTAAGCGGCCTCAGTACGTCATCCTCCGGGATGCTGCCGAAAGATGAAACTTTAGGAACAGCCGAATAGTCGAAATCTTGTTCGGATACTGCCCTATGTAGAGCGGCAGCGGTGGGATCTAGATGTCCGCGTCTTGCGGCCTCGTCCGCGGCCTCAGCGGCTGCGTCTTCTCGAACAGCCTTCTTGAAGTCCTCCACAACCTCCGCGCCGAGAAGATCTATACGCACAGGAGGCCGAATTCCGTTCTGTTGCCGCCTAGCCTGGGGGACTATGGCGGTTCCCGGCAATCGGTTGGTCGTAGCCCCGCGCGGGCCTATGGGAGAGATGTTGATGAAGTTACCCTGGGTGGGAGAAACGCCCTGTCCTCGGGTGCTCAGCGCGCGTCGGACACTGCCGATCAACTTCTTCATGCCCTGGCCAGACATGGCTGATGCGCTACGCTGCTCTCCTGGCACTTGAAAGACCGTAGTATGGCGCTGGAAATCACCGGCGAGGCTAGGCGACATGACTTCAACGTACGGCTGACCTGGAGGCATCAGGTTTCCTCGAACCAGGCTGCCAGCGAAAGGCAGTGACATGAGGAAGTCGGTGTCCGGTAGACCCGATTTTTCGGTGCTATGCTCTCGTTCTCTGAGCGAGTCCGTAAGGCTGCCGTTTCTCTTGTGCCCGTGCCCTGCCCGTACACGTTTTCCGACAAGAGCTCTTGGAGTCGTTGCCACTGGTCCCGCGGTGGAATAGGCCGAGCTGGCGGGTGCCACTGGGTGAGCGCCCAAAGTGGAATTGTTGCCATGTTGAGTTCCTTTCGAGTTCTTACTCGGGAAGGAGCAGGAGATGATGTCCATACTGGCGATACTGGTAGGTGAAGCCGCCAGCCGCCTGTCAATCTCATGAACATGGCGGCCCTCTGGTGTAGCAGGTCTGTCGATGATGGGTTGGGAGTCAGCGATATGGCCAGCTCGGGAAACGTCGGCGTAGAAGCTTGTCTGCTCCTTATCCTCGGGAATCGGCACAAATAGGCCATCCAGCTGTGGGACAGCGTCCTCTCTCTCCCAGAAAGAAGGATCTAGACCGGCGTTTCTGTGACCTGCAATCCCGCCAGGAGCTATCGGCACGTTGGCGCCAAGAGAAGGGTCGAATTCCGGTCCGTCCCAAAACTGAGCACACACTCGCCGCCAACATTTCTTCAGCTCAGCCAAGATCTTGAGTTGAACCTTGCGACCACGAGGGTCTGTTGATAGCTCGTCTACCATGTCGTTCAAGAGGTTACAAAACGATACGCGAAGGCCGTATTCGATGACGAAATCGTCCATGAAGTAGTTGAGGATCCAATGACGCATGGCGACGAAAGTTCGCACTCGTACCACCATGCCAATCTCATCGTTTCGGCCCAAAGCCCATCGCAGGCGCGCCATTACCATCTTCAGCAGATCACCCGCCTCGAGGAAGGATCGATACGTGAGGAAGAAGTCGGAGATGAGTTCATAGTCGAGAAAGCTTGGAGAGGTGAACTCGGCCACGAGACGAGGCGGGGTAGCAGCTGTCACTGCACCCGTAGCCGGAGAGTATCGCACTATCGATCTGTCGTCGCATGTCGGTTTGAAGGTGAGGGCATCGAACATGGCTGGTTCGATGACCAGATGGGTTGACATGTAGGTTGAGCGGATTGCAGGCAGCCGAGGTGTTGTCATGGGAGCGGGACTGAGGGGGCCATTGTGTCTCGCGGGTTCCATGGGCGGCAGGCGTATTTGAGGAATCGAGATGGGACTAGGCTTCTTGGACGCTATTGACGCAGGTATTCTTGGAGTAAGTTCGCCGGTCTGAGACCGATGGAGGAAAGAAACGTTACTGGAGCGGGGAAACTCTTCTGTCGGGGCGTAACTCGATCCTCTGAAGAAGGCAGTGCCTCTGGCGGTGAATCGTGGGTTGCCTAATTTCCAGTTTGGAATCTCAATGTCTAGGAGGGGGATGTGAGGCGCATCCAGATCCTCCATAGTTTTGGCGCGCCGTTCATCGCCTGGCTTGGAGATGACAATTTTGAAGCCTTCAGCTTCGGAGTCCCTGCTCGTAGTGGCGCCGTCATGAGCTGTCGAGTCGGAATGAGCACGTCGGTGTTGAGAGGGTCTCGGTGCGTGGCCAGAAAAATAGCGACTGTTTCTCGCCGTTGGGGGAGTGGCAGCCGTTGCAGGCGTTGCAGGAGTTGGTGGCGTGGCGGTCCATTGGCTCAAGTGAAGGTCGCTTGCGTCTTTTTGCCTCTGTTTTTCGGTCAAGGCATCCAGACCGGCCGTCCCAGGTGGCGTTATGGGAAAGACAAAATTTGGCTGAGGGTATCTCTGGTTGGCAGGACGAACCGTCGGTCTGTTTATTGTCAGCACGTTTTCGGAAACCCGAGTAAGATTGTGGTGAGGTCTTAGCATTCCCGCCCATGTGGGCGGTACTGAATCAACAAACACCGCATGCAGTCATGAAAGCAACCCACCTCAGATATATCCGGCCGTTATTGCCCACGTTGGCAACGGTGAATTGACGTCCTTCACGTCCAGCGGAGCCTCCATCGGGGGCGATTTCAAACTTGTCATCGGCAGAGCTATCAGCTCTCATGCGGCGTATCGGGACCTGATTCCTTTCCTCCTCGGATATCCTTTCTGTGGCTGGTAGTAGTGGTTTTGTTGAGGGTCCTGGCTGGCGCATCTTGTTTATCCATTTTCCTCCAGAACCAGCAGTCATGGCACTCTGGGGTTCCTTTCCTCCGGTTGCGAGTTTCGGCGACCTTCCTGATCTCGAGTCGCGGGGGGCGACTGGGCTTCTGGGACTCAGCGGGCTGCGCGGAGTCTGGTCGCGTTGCGGAGAGCGCACACTGAAGGCGAGTCCATCGTGCGAGGACCGCGATTCGGTGGCCTCCATGGCCGGTCTCGCGTGTATTCGATTACAGCTGCGGGCAGCGGGTGTTGCTCGCTGGAGTGACTGGTCGCGGAGGCATTCGGTCAGCTTTCTGGCGAGACACAACAAGATGCAGTCGGACTAGATTGGTGTGCGGCCCAGTGGAGGAAGGAATGAGGCTCGGAGCGGGAAGTAGGGCAGTAGTAAAAGAGACAAGAGACGGGCTAAGAAGCGGCGCGTTTGTTTGTGTGTGTCAAAGCCCCGAGGTGAGGTAGGCAACGTAAGGTAGGTAGGCACCAAACTCGGGACGAGGTCATGGACACTCGAGTGGTGCTATACTGGATTCCGTAAAGGGCCCTCGCGGGTCCGTGAGATCCAGGGACCAACTCAGCTCACAGGGTGGCACGCTGGGTCGGGTCTGACGCTCGGAGGAAAAAAGGCAAAAAAGATGAGCTCAGGGTGCATGTGGGAGTGGAACGTACGTTTTGACGCCATAAAGAAGCAATGGCAAGCGGCGGCGGCGGTGGTGAGGGCGGCAGTGTTTTGCAACCAGACACCTCTCACAGGGTTCGCTCAATAGAGACAGAAACGCAGAGGCAAGCACAAGCGTCCAACGGGCATAGTCCAAGACCAAGACCACAGGTTACCGAAAGTTGAGACCTTGTGCGAGAATAGGAAAGTCGAAGGCAGGTCGCGGGCTACCTTGAAGAGACTCGAGGAAGAGAGGGTGGAATGCGAATGCGCTTCGACGCACAAACAGAAACACAGGGCCGAGTTGGTGATTCGTGAATCGCAGGAAGGAGGCCGGAGACTCGGAGGATGCGCTCGTTCTCGTGCAGCGGCCGCTGGTTCGTATGATTGTCTGTCGCCTTGAGGTGTTGGATTATTCGTACAAGGTGTATTATTCGAGGTCTCGTGAACGGAAAGGAGGAATGAGGAATTTGAGATAGTATTTCCGTCCTCCGTGGCCGTCTGGTAGGTAATTACACGCCAGTAAGTGGTTGAAAGAAGGAGGAATGGACAACAACGACGATAGAGGAAGGAAAGGCGAGCGAGAGTACCTCGGTGTGTATGTACCTTACACAATGACCCAAGGTAGAGGAAGGAACGGTACAGATACGTAGGGAAGGATACAAACACAAAAGAAAGCAAGGCGGAAGGAGACTTGGGAGAGAGAGAGAGGCCAGGCCAGACCAGGTCCAGACCAACAACCACCAGCAACCAGGAAGCGACCAGAGAAACAACGACAAGCCGCAAAAGACCAGGATGGTAGGACGCAGGATCATGGATGGGGGAGCGAGGAACACAACCGGGAAATGGGCACTGGGCAGACAGTCACTCAGCTCAGTCAGTCAAAGTGAGTTGGTGGCCCGTGGGACGGGAGTTGATTGAGTGCAGGTGAACCGCGAGGCAAGGTACCGGTACGTACTCCCCTGTTCATGTTCCTTCCGTCTGTCTCTCTGTCAGGTGGGAGATCAGGGACAGGGGACGCCAGGAATAAGGACAGGGAACCCGGCTGGGCATGGTTGGTCAATTGCACCTTACCTCACCTCACCTCAGTCTACCTTACCTTACTGAATGCTAATGAAGTGTTCGTACAGAGATGTTTGCCAACTTGGTATTCTACTGCTATTCTAGGTCTATCAATGGGTTCTGAATTCATTCCCTTGACACAGCAAGATGCCCGTACTAGTAAGGTAGCAAGAATGAGCTTGAGATACCTCAGGTACCTGATTGTGCGAGGTATCCGTACTTGAGAGGACAATTTTGGATGGGCAATGCTGACTGACCGCAACCTGGAAGATGCAGGAGCAGGTGGTGCGCGTGGTTGCTTGGGTGGCCCAGTGCGCTAATCTCCCTTAGCAGCTGCTAAAATACCTACCTGCAAGAGGTACGTATCCTATTGGGCTGATATGGTTTTGGCAAGAACCACTCATCACCACCCCACTTTGTCCATTTTCCAGTGTTGTGGCTGGTCCGGCCCAGCCATCCACCACTACCTAGCCAGTATCTGTACTAAGCTAACGGTACGTATCCAGAAGAGTACCTAGGCAGGTACTTATAAGGTAGACCAAGCAGGGGTCGACAACGAGGGCAACGGGGAGGGGCCAGCCACTGGTGACTGCCCACCCGTTGTGTGATTTTTTTTCCCTCTCTTTCGCTCGCGACCTGGACGTACCGCGCGCACGGTTAGAGCCCCGTAGTTCCAGTCTTGTGTTTGCAAGGGGGGCCACCACAGTAGATACGTACCCCGGTGTACGTCCTCGATGTACCCGGCCGAGTGTCATGGAACTGTGAAAGTCCACCTCAGGTGCGCCGCCCTTGCCCTCTCGAGGTTACCTCGATGAACCTGCCGACTACAGTGCTGCTGGTGCTTGTTACTTCCTACTGGCTGCCGCGCCTTCCAATTGGCATTCACGATGGCCGATTTGTGCGCTCCAGCATCGATGCCCGTTTTGTTGCTTCAACCTTGATTTCTGTCATTCTCTCCTCTCGCTGCTCTCTATCGCGGGTTAGTCTGATCCCGGATCCGAATTACAGACAACCACTGCACGGAACGGAGACGGGACTTGATCGACTTGAGATGAGACCAAGCCGATCCAATTACCAGCCGAGAGAGCCTCACAAAGTTACCACAGACTCACCACAACCGCACCATGTGACGAAAGTTGAGTCGCCCTGCTTTGGCTTCATAGCTTGCCTGCCTTGCCTGCCTTGCCTGCACCCTTCGGCCGCGGCCAACGCAGCATGGCGAGACAAAAAGAAACGGGACGACAGCTTTCACAGCCGCCATACGCGCATCATGCCTTCTCTTCCCTTGCCCCCAGCGTCCATGCAGGGAGCGTTTCCCCTCGATGTGAGCCTCGAGCTCCAGCCTCCAGAGTCCAACCTCGCAGTGTCCGGCCCCGAGGCCTGGTGCACCAAGCTTTCTAGGTTGTCGGAATCCGGATGCCCTCTTTGCCGTCATCGCCATGTCACTGCTTTGCCCTGCTTAGCATGCGGTTCGCCCGTTGACCATCCGTACTCCGTACTGCGTCCCCGACTCTGTGCTGAGTATCGACGCAATGGCCAACGGCCCATGCTTCGGCATCCTCGTCCCCCGGTTGATGTCATTTCCTGCAACCAACCTCCTGGATCCCGATATCAGTCCCAGAAGCGAAAAGAGGCGACATCACAAGCGAGGCGGCGATAGACAAGGCCAGGACGCCAAACCCCAGCAACATCCCCAACCTCAGCCGGCATACGGAGTACTGGGGTTCAACAACCCATCACTGATCTGAGACTCAGAGTTGCCTATTCCGCACTCCGTCTTCCCGCTTCTGCCCATTTATTCTCTCCTCTCTCACCATTCGCCTAGCTTCAAAGGCTCAGCACCGCGACAAAGGTACCGGTTATCTCCCTGGTCCCTTCGCGCTCGTCTCCGGTGCTTGCCGCGGCCCGTCAAATTGACGTTCTGGGATTATGGGATTGAACGGGACTGAAATTGAAACGACGCATTCGAGCATCAAGGACCTTATCCCTCGAACAAAGTGACCAATTGCACGTCCGAGTCCCAATCAATTCTCTACATGGCACGGATGCCTCCAAAATCCAGAATTGCTTCTCTACCCCACGGCAACGTGCTACCACCTCTACGGAGTAAGTATACAGCTTTGCGACTTGGCCCATCTCTTTGGCCAGGACGATCACAACAGCGTCAAAGACACAGTTGGCTCTTACCGATAGATTCTCCGTGCCGCGCTGGCCTTCAGATCAGTCCAATACGCTCGTTACCCTCGGTCGCAACCCCGTAGAGGGGGGGGGAGTAACGGGACAGATACAGAAACGGAAGCCACCCGGCCAGATTGCACAGGAGACTGGCGTACTGCGTACATCTGGCGGATACGCTGTAGTCGTAGGTCACCCACTGTTGCTCTGCACCTGCATCTGCACTTGTTTCTCTGCAGACTGCAGCACCGTCGTGAATCCATTCGGCCCAATCACCTTCTCGCCCAGCCCTTGTCAGTCACAGCAACCCGTTTTGCCGGCTACGATTGGCAGGACTCTTCTGGTTCCTGAGACCGAAGCCTCAGAAGAAGACTTTCAGAACACACCGATTGTCCCCTTCAGGGTTGTGTGCACATGGAAAACCAAGCCCTGCTTGAGGATAGAACATCAGAAGGTTGGCACGCATCTCGCATCTGCAAGAGATGCTTACAGATCACACCGTTGAGCTTGCTCATCGTCAGACTCTGTCTGTTCTCCTTTCAACAACCGAGGCAAGGACGAGAGTGGAAGATGCGACAAATCTGAATAAGCTAGACATCGTGTCGTGACGTCTCAAGTTCTTAACAGTCCAGTAACCGGGGCAAAAAGGGACACTAATTACCCCTCCATACCCTGGACTGATGACTGGAGTTCAGCATACTCCGTACACAGCACGAACCCTCGTCGGCCATCTAAAATACTCGTGGCACCCATCACGAAGGAAAGGCCGAAAGAAGGGACGGAAATACCCCGCAGACGCACAGCAACGGGGTCGCTTAGCAAACCTTTTCCCTGGTTTTCGGTCAATGACAAGTGCAGTTCAGTTGGAAACTTCAAACTTGACGCACTTTTGTAGCAAAAGTCCGCACCTCCCAACGGTTACCTCCTATTCCAACCGCATCTGAAGGAATAGTTCGTATGCGCCTTCCCAAGGCTATGACGAAAGACGAGTCTCGAATGGGGTCTGCTTTGTTTGCCAAAGCTACAGATCACTGATGGCAGCACTAGCATGATGTTTTCCATCTTCGCCAACACGTCTGACACTAGACAGACAGCTGCAGGGATGGCCGACGTTGGTGGGGGGTTAGTCACGACGCGCTTCAAAGAAGACGCCTGGAAGATTGATCCATGATGCGGTGCCACCATCGCGAGAAAATGGTTTCCTCGAACCCAGGCAGAAGATTTAAAGTCAACAAGCAGATACGCGTTGCGGTCGCAAACTCGCAGTTCACGGAGACGATGAGACTGTCGACAATCAAAGGCGCGGCGTCCCCGCCCGCTGGGGTTCCTTTAATATCACACTGTTAAATGACCAGCGACCAGGATCGGAAATTGTTACAGGGGCCAGCGGCGACATGCACCAGAGTCCCTGCCAGGGCATTTTGGCAACGTCTCTCCTGTGAACTCCATATATGGCTGCGAAATGAAAGTCCCTCTTCTCTTCTGCTGCGTAATCGTCTTGGCCGATAGAGGCTTGGGTCCGGCCCGGATCACAGTAAAGAAGACAGTTGCGAAACGCCATCAATGTTTGAGCATCGAGCCAGTACGATGAGACATGGGAGATAGAGTCGACTTTTCGCAAACGCCCGCCGAAAGGCACCAAAGGGGCGAGGGCTGCACGCCACTCGATACTCGAAAGTTGAAAGAGGTATGCGGATACGTCCGCCATCAACGCCTTGAACGAAGTACACTATCTACCTGACGACCGACAGTGTATACGTCGGGACTACCTGCTGTGGACACGGCGGGCAGGCTACAAACTTGTTGGTTCCGATGCGTCTTCCATGGCTTATTTTAGCAGTCACCATTAGCCGTTTCGTGGCTCGGTCTAGAAGTGCAAATTGAAGGGAGCTAACGGCGCCGCTTGCGGCACCAAAGGCTTGTGCCCTAGCAACAACAACGAGAAAATGAGGATGAAGAAGACAGCGGCCGTATTCTCAAGCGCACTTTCGACTTCAGGGACGAAGCCAAGATGGGCCTGCAGTCTACAAACCCTCATAGATCTCCACTCAAGGAAGGATCCGTTGCAAGCACGTATCAAAACTCAATGGCATGATCGGATGTCGTGTTACAGTGTCTTTCTGGTGCTGAACCCACTGGGCCTGCCCCTCGTCTCCAACAGTAGTGAGGAGAATAAGCAAACAACACCAAGATAATCACCAGAGTCAACCCAGCAAGGCGAATCAACGAAGAGGCGGCTGGTCAGCTGATCGCACCGTCATGCTGAACATGTTACACCCGGTTTCTGGTGGATCGTGAAATGCAGCCTTCAGCTCTGTTTTCCTTCTTCCTCCAGCTATATCGGTCTTGAGGGAAGGCTCGGACAAGCCGTGCTGGATCGTTTGTTAGTGACTCGCGGTAGAGCAGCTCTGTACTGCTGATCTCAATGCCCAACGCCCAACTTTGGCCACAAATCCACGCCAGTGCGACTCCACGGAATCGAAAAACGGAGTATGAGCATTCGCACACGGCTACGCCTGTATGATCCTGAGTAGTGAGGATCTGTACTG